GAATTTGATTGAGTTTTGGTTGAAATAAATGCGTTTGAAATTAATAGGCTGGTTGGGGTGGCCAGCTCGCTTGGGTATCCAGCTCGCTTGGGAATTACGTTACTTCACTTTTTTCAATTGAGAGATTTAGTCGGTCGCAATAGCTTTTAACGCCTAGAAATAGGCACACCCGTATTGTGGGATTAGCTTCAATCTTTTAACCGTCTAAAGATACTTTGCTAATCAAGCCCCTCATCACCGTAATTCAGGTATTTTGATTTTATCAATCTAAAAATAGGGCAAGATTCAGACAGATTCAGGCAAAAACATTGAAAAATCAGGCGTTTGACCTTTGGCCGCTCTGCTCCTTCGTATCCAGCCAACATCGGCGCATGTCTCAAAACATCGAAACGTCAATTTTGCAAAGAAACCTAAGGGCCATCCAGATAGCACTGTCTACATGGTTGCTCAAAAGTAGGGGGCGGTAGCGGCCTTCAGTCCTGTGCAACTCACACACCAAGGGCGAATGGCAAAAGTCGATCGATCATAGTGTTGAGTCTTGATAAGTTTTAGCTCTATTGAGACGCCCTCTACTGTAAAAAGGAATCCTAGGAATACTACAATCTTTTTGCGGACTGCTTATTCAATATCTTGGCAAAAAACCTACTTGCTCATAGTCGATTCAATCTAGTGCTTTACATATGTCGAAGCATCTATTTCTTCCCCATCTTAGAGCAGATCTAAAGATGTCATCGAGATGTCCCGACGTAATTTGGATTCAATAGATCGCTGTCAGTCTGTTACTGTAGGACTAGAACATCGGGTGTGCGGCTACTAGACTAAAATATATAGCAATGAACTTGAAGTGACCATATTTGGTGCGAAAAGTGGCCTGAACCGAACGAAATTGGCCAGGGTTGGTGAAAATGGTGCACGAGGGCATCTTTAGTTCATCACGATCGCAAAAAACACGCAGCAAAAATGGCCAAAATAATGTAAACAACCCCTGCCAATTTTTAGCCCATGTTAACCCACAGCGGGCCCAGGAATGGAACGGATCACTTACCGAAAACCCAATTCATGGAAGTGTAGCCAACCTTCTCCCGGAGGAATCCAGCGATGGCTGGACCGATCGTCATCCCGCTGGTCGCAGCTACGTCAGTCATAGCATAAACGCGAGAGAGGCCTCCGCGAGGTCCAAAGATGCCTGGAGTCGCCTTCTCATACGCTCGAACAGAAGCTGACGGTGTGTCAATCAAGGTCTTACTGCCAATCAGAAAATTGATCGGGACTTACCAGTCAGTTCCACAGGACCAACGCCAGTCACAAAAGGTCGCAGAATACCAAGGCAAATGATCGAAGATGTGTACAGCGCGGGACCCCGATGCTGCAAAGTTGCCCAGGGGAAATGGCCATCCCCAGCCACTCCAACAAGGACATGAAAGACTGCATGGAGAGCAAGACTGATGGTGATAGGTAATCGGACCCCGATGCGGTCACGTAGCCATCCAGCCGGGGTGCTGAGGAAGAGAGCCGGGACAGAGAGGAGGAAGAACATAATTCCAACCTCTCTTGGTGTCCATCCAAATGCCTTCCCTGTGTGCAGAGGAAGTGTGGCATGAAAACTGGTGAGAATGGCCGTGGTCAAGATAGTAATAGCCAAAGCCGTCAGCACGCGACTGTCACGAAGCAGGAAGACCCAGAATCCGACTGTGGTAGACGCATCATGGGGTTCAATTTGCGTCTTCGTGGGAAGAAGGGTTGATGTTTCTTCCAGGTTATCAGAGGAAGCAGGGCTCGAATTCTGGGGACTCTCTATCATCAACAAACGTGAGATGATATCAACAATCAAAATGCCAATGGGCACACTCCATGTCAACCAGTACCCTACAGTTTCTAGTAGGATGCCGGAGACCATGGGCCCGCTGATTATGCCAGCGCTAGCAAAAGTCATAATCACGCCCATCACTTTGCCCATGCCACTGTCCTGCACGGTGTCTGCTGCAGTGGCTAGGCCGACAATCCAAACGGCAGAGCCAGCAATACCCTGAAGCACTCGACCGAGGAGAAGTACAACCAGTGACGGTGACCACGCAACTAATAATGTTCCCATGACACACCCCGCAAGTGATAGAAGCAATGGTGTTCTGCGATTAGGCATCTTGTCCGCATAATGTCCTATTAAAGGACCGGAAACGGCAGAGACGAGGCCATGGAGGGTGAGGATTCCAGCGGTCAAACGCTGGGTCTGAGAGGGATCTTTATGGAGGCGATCTTCGAATAGGTAAGGTAACATAGGTACCTGGAAACCGTACAGAAACAATTCTAAACAAGTTAGAGAAAATCACAAACATGGAGTGCGAAAGGATACCAATGAACAATGCAATTGAAACGGTGCTGATGATGAACCATCTAGAGGAGCGCCATGTGTAGCCAGCCGGCCTTGAGCTAGGGACGTCCATCTTTTGCTGGACTGGATGTGGAGGAACCGTAGAAGAAATTTCCAATGATTGTAGGCATTGGTTCGCAAGAAGAGTGTGAGATCAAAAAGCTCAGACGCACCATGTACGGGGTGACCTTGCTTGGATGAAAGGCATTAGTTTATTTACACCAAAATTTGAACAAGGATGTCCTAGTGACCGAGATTTGCACCGAGCTCGATCAACTCCGTTACGCCGATGATTAAATTGACGTAACAAAAATGCATTTTGAGCTACCTATACTTAAGAGGTGATCTGTCGACAGCTTACCACTGCAACGTGAGTCTTCACTATGCCAAGACAATGAGATATACTGGTCTACGATGTTCAATGGAACACATCTAGCGAATGTAAGCGGAGCGATGCGCTGATCGGAATCATGTTGGAGATAGATCACAAATGACATGTGAAAAGACCTTCAACTGACTGACTTCGCAGGATATGCGTAGGGGGGCCGAGATGAAAATTTATGATAGACAAGGATGCATACTGGAGCCAGGGTATTCATGCAGGCTATATAACAAATTGCTGGAGATCACCCATGATGCATAGGGATGCTATTCCCCGTTTGCTCCACAGGCCAGCTCTGTGTGTCAGAATGAGAGATGGTCTACAACTACTCTTGACCCTAAACATTAACCGAGGGTTTTGTTCTGGTCTAGTGGTAAAATTGGTCGTATTTGTTTTTTTCTCACGCTGTACAATATATTGCTACCTGCAGGATTTTCCTCCTAAGTGGAAACCTGGGGCCGATCTACAGCTAGCCACCTGCGGCTGGAAAACCGACAGTCACCCTTTGCAACTGTACCCGTGCTCATTCCATTCGCTTCATTGATGGCAATGTTTACTCTTCGTGGCCTGTCATAATTCATTCAGGGTGCTGGTATTTAAGAAAATCAGAATGTGAGCGTGGTTGGGAAAAGATGTAAAAGAATTGCAGGAAAAAAAAAGCAATTACAGTCACCCTTGACAAGATTCTGCAAGCCTTCCGATTAGCGAAATCTTAGAGTCCCATAAAGCTCAATCATCCAATAGGAAGGCAAGGGAGTTTATTCAGCTCACTTGAGTTCCTCATCGTGCATACAGAAAATCTTGGACGGAGTATCCGAGTAGTGCGAATCATCAGTGCCGACAGTGAGATCTGTTGCATATGATTAACCCTTTTTCAGGTTAGCCTGCAGCAGCTCGTGCACCTCAATGTAACACTATATCCCTTTTATGTCTACTAAGTACGAAACAAACATTCAGTACCAAAAATTTCCGATGAAATTGTGTGAAGCTTGGTTAATGCGTGTGTATTCGTGCGCGAGTTAGGCCCGTGTGGCGTTCATCATGAGATACATGTGATATTTGAGCTTTGGTTATAAGAATACAAGTGACTCCCCTTGTTCTTGAATGTCAACAATCAGCTACATTCTTCTCGGTTTCTCAGCCTGGGACGGTCAAAGATACCACCCATCATGACCCCACCAACTGCCCAGCTGAGTAATACTCCCTCAGACCAGGCAATATCGTTGGTGCAAAAGGTCACAAACGCAGCTTCGGGTGATTTGATCGCCCCGTTCACCTTGCTCGGCAAATCTGGATTATGCCCGAGCGAAGCCATAACTCAGGCAGCAGCACAGTGCAATGTATCCGAGAACGTGATCGAGGATGTATTCCCTTGCACACCTCTGCAAGAAGGTATGATGGCAACAACAGTCAAGCGACCAGGACAATATGTGAGGCGATGGGTGTTTCGCCTAGCAGAGAAAGTCGCGATGGGTCGTTTCATCCAAACGTGGGATGAGCTTGTGGAACAACATCCTATCTTGCGGACTCGAATCTTTCAAACTTCGGCCCAAACAATGTTGCAAGCAGTAATTGCACATAGCCCCCGGTGCTCATCGGCCACTCATCTGGATGTTGATCAATATATCGCGGAGGACGACACCCGGACTTTCGGATTGGGTAGTCCATTGGTCCGATTTGCCTTGGTTACGCAGACACGCAGTGATCATCGATTCTTTGTACTGACCATGCATCATGCCATTATCGACGGCATTTCTATTGTGATGCTCCTCGACGAGATTGAAGTCAAGTGCCAAGAGAATTTCTGCAAATCCGCGTCGGCAAAACGTCTCATCCCTGCCCCTTTCCAATCCCTCGTGAAGCATCAAATCGACATGGAGAGCGAAGGGTTGAAATATTGGGAGCAAAAGCTGCAATGCTCAAATCCAGCGGTTTTTCCAAAGCTCCCATCCCAAAACTACGACCCCAAGGCGAATGAAATCCTAGAATACCGGATGACTGACGTCCCCTGTCTTCAAAAGAATGGAATTCGACTCTCAACTGCGGTTTGGGCTGCCTGGGCAATTCTTCAAGCATCATACACGCATTCATCAGACGTTGTCTTCGGTGTTCCAGTAACTGGGCGACAACAGATCCCAGTCCCAGGTATTCAACACCTGATGGCCCCAACTGTTGCCACGGTACCTCTCCAGGTTCAAATTGACTGGGATGTCTGTTTAGATACTTTCCTTCGAAAATTACAGTCCCAGGTAACCGACATGTATCCCTTTGCCCATGTGGGTCTACAGAAAATCCGACAGATGGGCTCAGTGGGGGACCAAGCGAGCCGATTTCAAACCATAATGGGGGTACAACGTCGCGCAGTGGTGAAACCTCGCGACAATAACACTTTTCATTACGACAGCGAGCGCAGCGCTAGAGATCTTGGAGTTTTCAACGGCAATGCTCTGATGATCGAGTGCCAGATCGATGCCGATGGTTTACGTCTCCTGATCAGCTCGGACTCTGTGGTGATCAAAAGAAATCAGGTTCTGAGATTGGCCCAGCAGTTGGAGCATGTCCTACGCCAAATTTGCGCCAAAGAATCGCAGTCCATTCATTTAAGGCATATTGAGACTCTTAGTCCCCAAGATGTACGCGATATTCAACAGTGGAACGAAAATCGCCCTGCCAGAGTGAATCGATATGTGCATGATCTCATTGCAGAGCACGTAGACGAGCGCCCTGAAGCTCCCGCAATTTGTGCGTGGGATGGTAGCTTGACTTATCGGGAATTTGATGACCTGTCAAATCGGCTGGCTCTTCATCTTTTGCAACTTGAAGTTCGTCGGGGGAAAATTGTACCTCTATGCTGTGAGAGATCTATGTGGACTTTCGTTTCTATGCTCGCAGTGATGAAGACCGGTGCTGCGTTTGTTTTCCTCGATGAAGCACTTCCGCTCGAGCGTATGAGAGAAATCGTCACGCAAACCAGAGCTGAAGTGCTTCTCACGTCATATGACTGTCTGGAAAAGGCTTCTGGGACTGAGGTGCCAAATATTGTTATGGCTGGTGCGGGTGCAGACTGGTTGGAATATTCCTATGATTCAGTAAGAACCTGCCCGGAAGATCTTCGCTCTCAGCATGCTAGGGGAAGCCCTGCAGATTCATTGTACATCGCGTTTACATCGGGCTCTACAGGGAAGCCAAAGGGGGCAGTCATAACGCACAGCGGGTACGCCTCGGTAGCCAGCGCGCATAAAGGTCCTATGGGATTGAACCAAAATTCTCGGATGCTACATTTTGCTTCCTACTCCTTCGATGCTAGCAATTTTGAGGCCCTCACAACATTCATTGCTGGTGGATGCCTCTGTGTTCCATCAGAGGATATGCGCAAAAATGACTTGGCATCGGCCATCACAAAACTTCAGGTCAACGCCATGTTTTTGACACCGACTGTCAGCCGACTGCTGACCCCGGATGACATTCCCACAGTTAAGATCATGTTGCTTGGCGGTGAACCAATAATGGACAGTGATATTGCATTCTGGAATTCGCACTTGCATTTGAAGATTGTTTATGGCCCAACAGAATGTTCAGCCATCTGCTGTTGCCTACCGGATACTTCAAATGATGATGCAGGTACTATTGGCCTTGGGACTGGGGCCAGCCTGTGGGTTGTTGACCCCTTTGATCATCATAAATTAGCTCCAGTTGGAGCAATCGGCGAGCTCATTCTTGAAGGACCTGTAATTGGAAACGGCTATCTGAACAATGCCGAGAAAACAGCAATGGCATTTGTTGATCGGCCCAACTGGCACTCCAGTGTTCTCGAACATCATTACGACGAAAGCTTCTCTTGGTACCGGACCGGCGACTTGGTCCAATACCGAGAGGATGGCTTGCTTAAATATGTCGGACGAAAGGACCAACAAGTTAAGCTTCACGGGCAGCGGTTTGAGCTCGCTGAGGTTGAGATCCATCTTCGCAAGGTGTGGAAAGAAGCCAAGGATGTAGTTGCAGCCATTATTACGCCAGTTGGTGGAAAAGCGACCCTGGCCGCCTTTATATGGCTCGAGCAATCCTCAAAAGACAAACAGAACTTGTGCAGGGAGATCTTTCCGAGCTCTGCCCCAGCCCAGTTTTCTAGTCAGGCCCACGAAATTCAGGCCGAGCTTCATGCTCTACTTCCGAGCTACATGGTTCCCAGTCTTTTCATTCCACTGTATTTCATGCCACAGCGAGTGTCCGGCAAGATTGATAAAGCATTTCTTTGTTCGCATGCCGCAACTTTCACTCGACCGGAACTAGAGACCTTTATGGGCACAAAACCAGAGAGCCGAGAAGCATCTACGTGGGCTGAGGAGATGATTGGGGCAATTATTCACGATCTGCTTCAAACCGAAAACATACCGAGTCCAAACGACAACTTTTTCCGACTTGGAGGCGATTCAATCGTCGCAATGAAGCTCGTTCAGCGCGTGCGTCGTGCCAAAATGACCTTGAATATCGCAGACATTTTCCAATCACCAAAACTCTGTGATCTTGCCTTGCTCATTCAACAAAGACATGAAGATGCCTATCATGCTTCTTCGTCGTCACCTTCCACCTCATCCAACACTTCGTCGCCTTTATTGACCTCGTCTTTGGAATCATCATGTCTCAGCCTTCCACAGCTTATGCCGTTTTCCATGGTAAGCCCACAGACTCGGGATGAGGTATTTGAGGAGATTCTCTCCCACTGCGGTGTAACCCCACAAGAAGTCGAGGACATCTACCCTTGCACGCCCCTACAGGAAGGGTTGGTTTCATTGAGCATTGGTAACCCTGGCACCTATATCCGACGGGATAGGTATCTGCTGCCGCCGACCATTGACCCAGGTCGTGTGAAAGATGCATGGATGCAAGTGATTGATGCCAATCCAATTCTGCGAACCCGCATCTATCACCCCAGAACAGGGGATAAAGCTTTGCAGATTGTTCTCAGCACCACTGTGGAGTGGAAAACGTGCGAGGTGGAAAGCCTGCACGATGCTATAGCCCTCAATGCTGGGAGAAAAGGAGCAATGGGGTTTCTTGACCCGCTGCTGCGGCTCACACTGATCAGCGAGCGAAACAGCGATAAACTTCTGCTGGAAGTGACTTTGCACCATGCCCTTTACGATTCCTTGTCCATCGAGCAGATCTTTGGTCAGGTCGAGGCTTCTTACCGGGGTAACCAAGCGCATTGCCGGCCCTTTGCCCCATTTATCGAACAAATCGAGCGCTCGCTGCTTTCAGGGAAATTATTTTGGTCAATGCAGCTTGATGGAGCCACGCAAAATTCGGCCATATTTCCCACAGTTCCTGACGAAAATTACATACCGCGCCCTACCGAGAAGATGGAAAGTTCGATATCTATCTTACCAGGACATCAACACCTTGGGTATACGTTAAATATCCAGTTACGCATGGCGTGGGCTATGACAATGTTCCAATATGCATCATCCAGTGACGTTGTCTTCGGGGTCACCGTCACAGGTCGTAACGGTGACCTACCGGGACTCGACCTGGTTACAGGGCCAACCTTTGCGACAATACCAATCAGGGCTATTCGCAACGATTCGAACACAGTTGAGGAAACTCTATCTTCATTCCAAAGCCAGATGATCGAAGCTATCCCCTTTGAGCATTGTGGATTGCAGAACATATCCTCTGTCAGCAAAGATGCAGCACTGGCATGTGGCTTCCAGACGTTGCTCATCATTCAATCGGCAGCAGGCAAGCAAGAAGACAGCTGTGAAAAGAAATTGATATTTGCATCGCCTGTGATTGAAAGCCCACGAGCAAATACTCAAGCTGACACATATGCTTTAACAATTGAGTGTGCGCCACAAGGTGATATTATCACCGTGAGGGCTATTTTTGACTCAGCTCTGCTTCCAGTTCAGACAATTAAGCGAGTGCTGCAGTTGTTCTCACATGTATTCCATGAGATACCCCATGATCCATCCCGCCGAATCGGTGAAATCAGCATGATCACCAAAGAGGATCAAAGCCAGCTAGCTGCTTGGAACTCAACTCTGTTGGAAAAACCTATTCTTGACGACGAAAAATGGAAGCCTTGCTCGGTGTATGACCTGATTCAGCGCCAATGTCACGCCCATCCTAGTGATTTCGCCATCTCTGCGTGGGACGGTAATTTGACATACGAACAGCTCAACCTACAGGCATCTATCTTCGCAGCTCATCTTGCTCAAAATACAACAGTTGGACCGGAAATGATTGTTCCACTATGCTTTGAAAAGTCCTTGTGGACAACCGTGGCCATGTTGGGTGTCATGAAGACCGGGGCTGCATTTGTCCTTCTGGATCCGTCGTCACAGCCTGCTCATCGAATGCAAGGAATATGCAAGCAGGTCAATGCCAAGTTTGTTGTATGCTCGAAGAGTTGTGTTCCAAATTTCGAACAGCTCCCGGGTACAAGTACCTTCATCTTGGATGACCAAATTTTGGACGAGGTGCAAAGTTCACAACATCTAATCTCGGGACATGGCCTGCTTCCTCCCACCCACAAAAACTCACTCTACGTCGTCTTCACCTCTGGATCAACTGGTCAGCCAAAAGGGATAGTTATCGAACACGGTGGGTATGCTATCACTGCACTAGCTCGCCAGAGCACCCTGGGTCTACACAGGGGATCTCGCGTGTTACAATTTGCCTCGTACGCTTTCGATGTCAGCATTGAAAACACTCTTGATACGCTGATCGCCGGCGGCTGTGTGTGTGTCCCGTCAGAATTACAGCGGAAGACAGACTTTGCCCGGATCGCCGACGAGTTCCAGGTCACGTATGCAGACCTGACTCCTTCTGTAGCTCGACTTCTGAGCCCCAGTGACATTCCAACCGTCAAGACCATGGTACTGGGTGGAGAAGCTATGGCCAACGAGGATGTCAAAAGATGGGCCAGTGAAGTTCGTCTCGTCAACGCCTATGGTCCGGCAGAGTGTGCTGTTACTGCTACTGTGCAACACGTTCGAGCGGTCGGTACATGCAGCAATGCAGATGCTAGCAAAATTGGACGTACATTCCCAACTGCGGGAACATGGGTAGTGGACCAATCTGACCACCAGAGGCTTCTTCCTATTGGACTGACAGGTGAGTTAGTGATTGAAGGGCCTCTTGTCGGTCGTGGGTATCTAAACTGTGGAAATGAGTCATCTCGATCAACTACCTTCTTACAAGACCAACCATCATGGAGAAGTCAATTTTCCTCTTTCCTAGGGCCCATGATCTCGCGGATGTACTGCACAGGTGACTTGGTCCAATACAACACGGATGGATCTTTGAAATATCTCGGTCGGAAAGACCAACAGGTGAAAATCCATGGACAGCGCATCGAGCTGGGAGAAATTGAATCTCAGCTTCGTATGGTTTTCCCATCAGCAACTGACGTACTGGTGGATGTTTCTGCAACCAGCAAAAACCCACGGCCGTCTCTCATATCCTTCGTCAGTTGTTTAGGTACGAAAGAAGAGACTAAAAACGGTGCAGACACAACCATACTACCATCAACGCCGTGCTTTCGAAGACAGATCGCAGAAGCAGAAGCAAAGCTGCATGAAGTCCTTCCCCGCTACATGGTACCCATGGTCTTCATTCCCGTGCGAAGTATTCCTCAAACTGCAGCCGGCAAGGCCGATCGTCGCACGCTATGCCAAGCGGCCTCCGCTCTGTCTCTGGAACAAACGGAGAGTTACATGATATCCCGGGACGAAGTGCGAGCTCCATCTACCGCAATGGAAAAAGCATTGCAGGTCTTGTGGGCTAAGGTTCTGGGTATTTTACCAGAAACGATCAATGCCAGTGATGGGTTCTTCCGTGTTGGTGGAAACTCAATCCTGGCCATGAAACTTGCCGGACTAGCCAAACTGGAGGGAATCAAGTTGTCAGTTCCAGACTTGTTTGCGAACAAGTCTTTGGAGCTACTAGCGTTCGAACTCAATGCTTCTGCTCATGTGAAGGCTGAGGCTACTGTGCCGTGTTTCGACTGGGATCTGGAGGCTGCGATTCCCCAGAGTCTGGATGACGAGTTGCAGCTTTGTCTTCGGGATGAATTCCGCCGGCAGAATGAGCTCACTTTCAATAAGAGAGGAGTTGAAATTGTCCTTACTGGCTCCACAGGCCACCTAGGAGGTGAAATTCTTCGCCAATTAGTCGGCCGCGCTGACATTCGCTGTATCCATTGTGTTGCTGTCCGCCGACCAGATCCACACGCTGTTCCAAATTGGTCGGCTCATGACAATTTTGATTGGAAGACGCTGTTTGACCAGAAGGTGAAAGTCTACCAAGGAGATCTTTCATTGCCGCGCATCGGTCTATCAGAAGACGACGAAGCCAACATCTTGTCAAATTGCCGAGCCATAATTCATTGTGGTGCTCTTGTCTCGTTTGTCAGAAGCTATGATCTCATGCGAGATGTCAACGTTGGCTCGACCAGATACCTCGCCGGCTTGGCAGTAAAAGCGTCGATGGCGTTCCACTTTATCTCAACTGTGGGAGTCAACTGTGCTCCCAACCAAGAACACACAATTATTGAGGAAACTTCTGCGGCACATGCCCACCCATCTTCTGACGGTGCAGGTGGGTACATTGCCAGCAAATGGGTCAGTGAGATTTTCCTCGAGCGAGTGAATGCCCGATATGGTTTACCAGTGTCCATACACCGGCCATCCAATGTTGTTGGGCCCAATGCCTCCAAGGACGATATTATCAACAACTTGCTCGACACTTGTCGCCGGATAGGAATGGTACCCAAACTGCCGGGCTGGATTGGCTATTTCGACTTGATCGGTGCTGAGGTGGCAGCGTCAAACATCGTTGGTTCATTAGATGAGAGTCTCCAAATCGATCACAACGTCAATAGTACTCATGACGTTCAATACCGACATGAGTCTGGCGGCGCGGTCATACCGATCGATGCTTTGAAGTCAGTCATGGAGAAGACTGAAGGGAGAACTATTCGGCTTGTGGATTTGGATGAATGGATGCAAGATGCTCGGCTCAATGCGGGCACGTCAGATCTGGTTCTAGAGTTCCTAAGGATGAGGAAGGGGAAAGGAGTCTGTATGCCATTGATCCGCAACAATCGTACGGCTTGGTTCGCTGGTGGAGCAACCCCAGGGGGTATTTTGGGGAAAGGGAAATTGTCGGAGATGAAAGGAAGAAAGATTCGTGAGGTGACTTCCCTAGTATAGGTTTTTAGATCTGTATATGGTGTTCTCAGCACGATTCTTGTCCTTGTTTTGTTCATTCCACACACAATAACCCCTAACTAGGCAGGTTAACTTTGGTCATCGTAACAGCATAAATCGCTTCTGCACTTTTATCGCTTCAATGTTCTAGTTGGATGCTTGTGATCTAACTTTTCAGATTTCACGATCCTAGGAATTGATTTACTCTATTGGTGGTACTAAATAGATAATTGAATGCAGAGATGTAGATATGATACGGTGCGTCAACTGTCGTAGGACTTTTCATAATAGAGTATACAATCTCTGAACCAGAAAAGTTGTTATTACGAGTAATTAAAAGGATCTCATCTCAAAGAAAGACGAACCATCCAGAATAGATTTTCACACATAACCTAATAAATGTTTTACCCGTCTTCTTCAGTTTCATACTGAGACGGCAGAGTAAGGTAAAAGGAGGCTTAATTTGTGAAATGGACTCTTCTATATCTAACCTTGGATATATTTCTTGGCCCGGAGGGGGAGGGATACTGATATATGCATCGGTTATCTAGTTTCTGAACACTCATCAACGTATGCATTGTGAATCTCAGGGTGTCATGTACGGAATCCAAGTTATGAGGAGCAAACACTCAACAGCTTATTGATTTCGCCTAGTTCTATTCTTAAGATGGAAGATACGTACACAGTTGATATCAATGACTACTGAGACAGTATAGCTGATCTTGCTCATGAACATGTCAGTCATACTTGCCATGTATACCAGACAGATGTCTACATCAGTTCATGAAGCGGCACCTGCTGTAGTCACACGGCCCACCTCCTCTTAGCTTGGTAGAGGTTGAATGAGACCTCTCTCATTGGATCTATCTAGTATGTCGGGTTTCCCAGAAAATGCAATCTCATCCCTATAAACGTTCACATCAGTAGCCAAAAAATGTAGAGATTCCGTAAAAAGGAATCCTTCACACGGAGTGATCAATTCAAATTCAGCCAGTGGTAGATGGTGGTTAGAAAAGCTTTATGTATTGTTTCTAATGTAGACCTCTCCATATTCAAGCAATTATGAATCTACCTCTTGATGCCGATGACTCGCTGGATAGCTTCGTCATTGCTCATAGCCGAGTCAATAACACCAGCCACCTTAAGCACATGGACAACACCTCCAATAATCTTATCATCAACGCCACGAGTCGCATTAGTGAACTTGACATCCTTGAGCCATTCCGTCGCATCTTCTTCAATATAATTGCAACCAAGCTCGCCAGTACCCAAAAGATTCACAACCTGCGCAGGATCAGCCCGAAATTCCTTGATTCCCTGATCCAGAGCCTGGAAGAGACTCTGCAATCTCTGATCTTGCTCAGGGCTAGGGAACAGTAACGTAGAAGCGACAATCATCCACGAAGGCCAGGGCGTGAAAATCTCGCCAATCTTCTTAAGCGGTGGGTTCGGTCTCTCAGATGTAGGATGGAAGTACGGCTTTGTGGTAAATTCCTCCCACATGAAGAACTCAGCCGATGGGTTCGCAGCCTGGTCGGGCTTTGAGCTGTCAAGGCCAGACACACCATCCCGTAAGGGTCCGAAGGGTCCTAGAGGGACGGTAGTCAGGGAGTCGGCTTTCCAGCCTTGCTGCTGGGCAAGGACGAAGGACATGATATGAGAGCCACTGTGCGATGATGTGTTAGTCTCACGCTGCTGTGCTCGCCACTAACCGAGCGTTGATGACTTACCTTCCTAGTCGGCTCACTCCAACCCTCTGGTCCTTCAAGTCCGATACTGCATTTATGTCATCCCGATTACTACCAGTCACTATAGCCCAGCGCAAAGGGTTATCCACCCAGTGGCCGACGACCTTGTATCCTCCGTCTGCATCTGCTCGGGTCTGACTTGCTTGCTGCTTCCCGGCCAAGCCTGCAACCCAGCCTTCTGTCAAACCGATGGCGAGGTCAATTTCATTGCCGCGCAGGGAGGTGATCATATGGCCCGTCCCGGATGGGAAGGGGGTTGCGGCGATTTTGAATGGGAGGGAGGCCACGGCCGGTGAGCGGAGGGCCAGATGGAGTGGGGTTAGGTAGTGCTCTAGTAGAAGGCAAACGTGTGTCGTTAGCTTTTTCTGTATAAACACAAAGTGGGAATAACTAGCAGGCTTTGTTGAGACGAAGCAGTCAGCTTGGAGACGGCAGGACTGTTCTGATGCTGATGCCGAAGCTCTGAGAGGGAAGGGATGACGTACCGGGCACATATCCAATGCGGATTGTAGGTAGGTCAGACATTACGCAAGTCCTAGCTGCGTTTCCAATTCGGAAAATTAATAGATAAAGCAGAGCTGGGGTTGCGTCGGAAAGATGTAGAGCAGATGTTGCAGCAGCGGAGTGACGCGGGGCAAACCCCTCACCAGACGCGCGCAATCGCAATCGGAGAAGAACTGCGGATACGGTTATTTTTTTTTGTTAATAATACACCATAGTAATGACATTATCTCATTCAAATTACAAATCTATTATGCTGTTTGCCTATGCTAGCTATCTACATATAAATCGAGTCTAATCCAAGTTCATCACCCCGGGCTTTTTAGTCCATGCGAATATCCTTCTCGTGATGACCCCAGCGGCCATTGTGCTCCATAGACTCACCTGCGGTCTGGGAGTGTGGGTTGGAGACTGGATGGGATAGAGTTTGAGAGGGGATGTTTCGAGTGAAGTAATAAAACTGGAAGGCCAGGTAGAAGTCGCACACGCACTGGAAGATACCACAGAGCTTGAACGACCATGGGATAGTCTCTGTGCTGTTGAAAAAGTAACTCATTTTCATGACGTCACCAAGAATCCATGCCGCAATAACGGAGAGTCGGAAGCCCTTGCACGAGCCAGATCGGTGGTTGGCAATGATTTGAGGGACAGGGAGAGTAGCTTCGACGGCAAGCCCGAGGTAGCCAATGAGACTGACATAGAATGGCAATTCAGCGACCGGGGTCAGATGAATGACAAACAAAATTCCGACGAAGTAAGCCAAAAACATCCAGTATCTTTGAAGATCAGTTAGCGGCCTTATTGGCTGTGGCTCAAGGTGCCGGAACTTACGGCTTGGTGGTCTTCCACTGCCAAAACTCGTAGGGTCTAGAGGATGAACCATCAGAGTTACCACCACTGAAGGGTGCGTGCTCAATTCCATTTCGCAACCCGGCGGAGGGGCGATTGTCGAGTGCAACCTTGAGCATCGTGATCTGCACCGCGACCATGACAATGGCTTGCGTCAACAAAGTGCTTGAGTAGTGCTCGCCAAACCAGTAGAAAATTCTAGTAGTGTCAGCATTGGACTGCAATTTCTAGTTTTCATGCGCCGTTGATCGAAATCGTACTTCAAGATGGAAGAAATCAGCATGATCAAAGGTATGTCCAAGGAGAAGCCAGCCGAGCTTCTTGTGCGATGAATGTTGAGGATCTGGTCGGCATAGGACGTGACAGGAGAGCTTATGAGGCTGTATAAAGATCTGTTAGCACTGGGGACCTGCGAATAACATTAGAGCTTGTTCACGCCCACGTACAAGAAAGGCGCGGCGTAGTCAAAGGCGATCTGAAAAAGAGACATGGTGGGCGAGGGGGGGCGTATGCGCGGACGCTATTATTGAATGAAAAGTGATACTATGGTCCACGCGCTTGCGTGAGGAGTCGCGTCTTGTAAATATTCAAGACACAGGGAAAGCGACGCTCAAGAGCAGGAGAGGGGGGTGGGGGGGGGAAAGGCACACACAAGCTCCGGGCCACACGACTCGATGCGGCTTGGCTTTTTTGCCGGGCCCCCGGGTGCCCTGAATTATGTCAGCATGTCGATCTCCACCTGCGGCAGGGCCCTGGGGCTGATGGAGTCGTGGCGTTATTGGAGCCAATGAGATTAATGTGCTTGTATAAAATTCATCATTTGCAAACTTGGAGGTTTATGACCATGGGAACGTCGATCGAGAGATATTCAAAAGTTGAAGGGTTTTGCCCGATTTAAAATGGAACTGGACATAATTTGTTACCTGACATCACGATGAACCCCACAATATAACAAGCCAAGCCAGGATATTTGATTTTGAATGTTGAGTTCTTCTCAATCAACTTCGTAATCACCCATCTGCAGACAATTATTGGCTGCGAGATACGCCAACCGTTTGGAATCATCTAGATTACTATTGGGCACTTCTTGTCACACTGAATTAGCAAGGCGGCTATTCAAAGCACCCCACTAGGAGGAGAACAAGAACGATGGTCAGCGATTGGGATATTAAGGCTTCCCAGAATTTGGGTCCACCAACCGTGATTAATTTTCTCGTGGATTGTGAAGCCAATGATAGTACTGTACAGAGCAGATTTTGTTTTCTTCCCTCTATGGTACCCTGAAATGCCGTCCAATAAAGACCGCCTATATGTTGCCCTCTACACGCGCGGAGGAGCCCCTACCATGCCAGGGATAGAAAATACGTGAGTTCAGGACGCCCAACCTCCACCTGTGTGAATTTGATTGACGATTTTGATCCAGTTACCACTGGGCGTGATTATTGGCCCGAAGATCAAGACAAAAGGCAAAAAATGGGTGTTCAGTACCACATGAAGGAGAAACCTGAAGTGGAAGGGGGTAGTGAATAGATTTTCGAGGAGCGTGAATGCCTACTCACTGCTACAAACATGTTGCTTGTTCGACTTATGATTGGCAAGGTGGAGGATGGAAATCGTCTTGCACAAATCCTGCGTACAACACCCATAAGGCAAAACCAAGTGGGATGGAACTGCGTTGCTTGGATACGGGAAGCTTTGGAGACGCTTAAAGCAGATAATGTAGCTTTAGGGAGAAGTGTTGTTGGCTGGGAAAGGGTCCGCAATGAGTCGATGAGTTACTGTCAAAGGGAGAAAGACCAGCATCGCTTTGATGGGCAAAGAAATTTTGACATGACCAAAGTCTCGACATATGACTTGTTCGAGCATAAGGAGATCATAATATAAAGCGTAAACACGGTACTGATTTTTTTAAATGTCTCCAAAGTATTTTTGACGAATTTGTTCCATCTTTACTTCCTCTGGCATAGGCGTGAGGAATCTGTCAATTTCAACGATCCAGAAAGAATTCTGGGGGTTGACATGGCAAGCCGTACTGTATTCCCAATATGACGGGTACCAACCGGCAGTTTCCCAGTCAATTATGCCAACAACATCATCCCCACGAACAAGGATATTCAAGCTGTTGAGATCGCCATGAGTGAACACGATAGGCCAACCACGATCGTGTTGTCTAATCAAATCCCGAATTTCGTAGTCAAGTCCCGGGTCAAAATCCATGCCACTTCGTAAATATCGATGGAGGCTTTGGATACTGGAAAAGGGCCCAAAACGCAAGGTAGTGCCCGGCAAGCGGCAATCGAACAAAGGTCCTCCACTAACAGAAGAGACCCCTATTCCTTCTGGAGGACGAAGTTCGCGCATCTCCTGAACCATATTCTTCAGCTGTGTAAGAAACTTTGTCTTTGATTATTCACTTCGATTGACCCAGCCGATGCCAATCATGTCTCCTTTAATCCTTTCCTTCAAAGTGTAAGAACAATCTCTATGTGTGAAAGTGCAGAGGATTTTCGGGACTGGGAGGGACGTATTCTGTGAGATGAAACGCATGGTCGCTGCCTCTGATAGGTCTAGGTGTTGCCCGTATTTGACACAAAGTCGATCTGTCAACATAAGAACAGTCCCTTTGAGAGGTCGAATCCTTCTGAGGACCGCAATCACCGAAAGCGTCAAATGCCGGTTGAAGGTGCTGCCATTGATCGGACTCGAGGACTGAACATTGCAGTTCTGCACGTGAGACATTGTTAAAATCTGAATTTACAAACAGAATGTGACATTGACCAAGGGCACCGTATATGGACGGCCTTGACCGAGGCCGGTGTTGATGAAAATGTCTCGCTGAGAACATCGTCCGAAGCACTTGAAAAACGCGTTACACGTGACGCCTAGTTTAGCCTCACATGAGCCACGCGCCTCTGCTGAGCTACCGGGTGGCGATGGAAGCGCATCTTGGTACAATTCAAGGTATGTACGTACACAGTAGAGTGTGAAATTTGCAATCGCATGCCGAAATACTACTAAATAGGGCCTCTTTTAGCAAGTTACTAAAGATCTTACCATTCGTTTTATGATCCATCGTTAATCTCTATAGATTGCTCTAAATTGAGTAGTCGGCAAGTATCTCTAAGATGCTACTACTAGTAGGACTGATTAAAATTAATAAAAATGGCTAGTAAACGCTATAGATCTCTTTTTTTACTAGCATTTTAATTATAGATTAAAGTTTTTTTATGCAAGGCAAATAGTTAATATATCGAAGTGCATCAGTGGAGGGAATAGATGGTGTCAGAACACCAGGTGCAATACATAGTGGAAATCATATATAACCTCGGTGGACTCGGCTATCCTATAATAAAAGTACGAAGATTAGTAATCTAGATCCCACTTGGATTATATAAATAGTTGGGGATTTTAAACCGATCAATTTTTGTTAGTTAGAGAATTTGATACCTATCATTTCAACCAATACATTTCATACAGTAAGATTTCTGTCAGATAGTAATAACGTTTAGACACTCAATAAAGTGAGAGGGAATTTGATGATTTAGAAAGATTTTAAATTAAATTCTTCTCCTTAGCTACCTTAGCCAGCTTATTTTACGGTTCTTGTATATCCGTGAATAGAAAAGTTGCATTTTAAAGGTAGGATCTGTTCTCGTAAGCCTCCAGTAGACATGAGGAGATAATGGACGATGCCAAGGTCGGCACACAGTCACGAAGGTTAGCGATTTAGATTGAATCATATCACTTCAAAATAGATTGTGTGGAGTTGAGAAATTCACTTTGCATGGTGGAAGGTAACCGAGTGACGCGATTTGGATCCATATTCGCGACAATGCAACAACCCGCACTTTCATTTCTTCTGTGTTGGTCTCTTCAAGCTTAAACAGCAACTCCAGAGACACCCATGGCGACCAAGAACGGCATTCTACCGCTGGAAGCGCCTCGTAAATTCGCAAATTTCTCCATATCTCGTTCTCTTCGACATGGAAGACTCGTACTGGGAACCCTCCTGCTGGCAGCAGGTCTCGTGATGCTAATTCATACCAAACATCTCGCCGATATCACCGCGTCCAACGGCACTGGTCGAGACATCTTTTATGAAGGGCTGAAAAAATGCCATGAAGCCAGGTATCAGTATCCGGGCCCTCAACCAACAGAGGGTCGACAAAACCCACGTTGGAACTCAATTTCTGGTCAGCAGAGACCGATCCTGATCCAGAATGCAACACTTTTCGACGGCGAATCCATTATTACAGGGAAAGTTGACATCGCATTCCAGGCAGGTGTGATCCGTTCTGTATCGGCTGCAAAATCAAGCCACCAAACCCCTAAGGATGCTCAAATCATCAACGCTCATGGAAGATTTGTCACTCCTGGCTTGGTGGATATGCATTCACATCATTTGTTACTCCCATTCCCCCAGCTTCCATCTACCAACGACGTCAATGAGCGCCCAGTTCTAGGACCCATAACTCCGTTTGTTCGCTCAGTGGATGGATTCAAGCCATATGACCCAGCGATCCAGATCATCGCATCGGGTGGTGTGACTTCTTCTTTAGTGCTACCCGGATCGGCAAACATTATCGGCGGCGAGGCATATCTGGTAAAGAATTTGGCAACGCCAGGCCCAAATGCCGAGCCGATAGTCGATGAACTACTGCTTGATCATGGCATTGTAGAAAAGAACCGAAAGAGATATTTGAAAATGGCTTGTGGGGAGAACCCCAAAGGCAACTATAAGAATACCCGGCTTGGTCTAGTGTGGCTTTTGCGCAAGCATCTCGAGGAAGCACGACAGCTGCAAGAGCGTCAATCTGCCTGGTGCCGATCAGCTGCTAGTATTGAGAATGCCAACTTTTTCCAGTCGAGACAGATTTTACAGTTCCTCAAAAACAGAGGGAGCCGACCGGAGTCCTTTGAACTTGAAACTTCTCTGGCACTTCTCAGAGGAGAGCTCAATGTTAATGTGCACTGCTATGAGCCGGAAGATCTTGAACGAATGTTGTCAGTGCTTCATGAATTTGACATCCATCCCAGAGCTTTTCACCATGCACTGGAAGCATGGGAAGTGCCTGAATTTTTGAAAACACTAGAGGAGTACATTGTCTTCTTCTTGTTGTCAGCTTCCTTTGCTAACTGGCGCCAGAAACATCACTATTGCCACTTTTGCAGAGAATGCGCTTTTCAAAGCCGAGGCATACGGGGCCAATTTACGAGGGCCTAAAATCTTGGCTGATCATGGTGTCCAAGTTGCATTGAAATCAGTATGAAATTGCTCCTTTCAGAAAGCCATGTTTGACCCTTCTAACATTAAAAGGACCATACTGGCGAGGGAAACTATGCAAAATATCTTGTGTAAGTGGGCTGAAAGTACTAAATTTAAGCACCTGACCGTCATCTAACCTGTGACCCTATAGTTACCAGGCGGCAGTTTCTCACTCGTTTGGTTTGTCTGAAGAAAAGTCTCTTCAAGCCGTGACATCTGTCCCTGCTAGATCCATCCAACAGGATCACAGAATTGGATATGTTCGCCCAGGATATGATGCAGACCTCGTCATCTGGGACGATCACCCGCTCCAAGTCGGTGCAACTCCAACTCAGGTATTCATCGATGGTCGTCCTGTTCTAAAGAGTGGTGAAGCTTATCACAAATGGACTACTGGAACATCTCGCTTTGGAAAGCCACAGGCTCCCAAAATCCGACCCTCTCTTGGAACAATTCAGAAAGAAGATGTTTGTACCAAGTTTCAGCACAACAATTCAAGAATTCTCTTCACTGGCATTCAAAAGGTCTTAATTGATAGACACAGTCCATCTACTACTGCTACCAAAGACCTCGTTATGCTGGTTGAGGATGGTCGCGTCAGATGCCTTGATACGAGGTCCTCGTGTCTATCCGACGAAACTCAGAAAAACACCGCACAGATCGCTTTAAATAATGGTTACGTTCTGCCTGGCCTGGTGGCTTTTGGAAACAAACTCGGAATCCAGTCCATTCCGTCTGAATCGTCGACTGGAGATGGCTCGGGTTCAAAAAGTGGGGATGCACTGAACGAAGACAAGACACTTCACTTCGCCAAGTATGGCGTGCATCTAGATGGCAAAGGACTCGCGAGGGCTAGGATTGGAGGCGTCACACGAGCTGTCACTGCGCCTCTTCATGGTGGTGGCGTCGCTCAAGGTGTCAGTGTTGGGTTACGAATGAGCAAGGATGCCACAATTCTTGATAACGGCATCTGGAAGGACGATGTGGCACTTCACCTCGTGATAGGTCAGGCAGCTATAAGTACGAGATTTGCTTCTCAGTTTTGTGATTAAGCTAATCTACTTTCATTTAGGCGATGACACACCGACTGTCTCTTCTGGGATTGAGAGACTGCGTCAGTTGCTTCAGGTGGGCGAAGATTCAGCACCAGGGAGTATTAGCATTTATGCTCGGGCTGCAAATGGCTCGCTTCCTGTGGTTGTACAAGCGTTCAATGAGGTAAGCCACGGTCATGCTTTTGCACCCTTTAAAACGCCCTTCGAAAGAACTGACTCAATAATGTCAGGATGACATTGCGCAATTGATCCTAATCAAGCGTGAGTTCCCATTAGTCAACCTGATTATATACGGCGGCCATGGTGCTCCTTTGGTAACATACCCTTATTTCACTTGACCTAGGTAGTGATGCTTTTACTTACTCAGATGTCAACAGGTCGCCAAGCCCCTCGCCGAAGCAGGAATTCCTGTCATCCTTACTGGAAACCGTGGTGCCCCTGATAGCTGGGAGAAAAAGAACTCTCTCGTAGGACCCCCATTGACGGAGAGCCCTGCAAAAATCCTATCTGACGCAGGTGTCCTGCTTGCCCTGGCTGTGAAAAGTGATTCAACGATCCACGGTCTGGCACAGGAAGCTTGGTGGGCTGGAAAGTATGCCAGTTTAACTGACCAGCAGGCCATTGCCCTTGTTTCAACCAACTTTGATCTTATACTTGGAGATCAATCGAGGAAGGCTCAGGAGGGAGCTTTCGTTGGTGACTTTGTTGTCTGGGAAGGCGATCCCCTGAGAGGGGAGGGTTCTGTTGTTGCTTCATTCCAAGACGATGGGAAGATTTCCGATTGCTGGCCTGATACCAGTGATGCTATTTTGTGACCGCAATACCACTGGCATTGGATCTAGCACCTTTTTTGGTTTTTTCACCATCTCTTTTCTTTTGTTCTTTGGACTGTATCTTACAATAACTTCGAACTCACATAAACCTCCATATAGATAATAGAAAGAGAATTTTGATGCATTTTCATTCCTCACGGGTTGCTAAAGAGTTCAGAAGCGCCGATTAAAAGGTGAGGTTTCGTCACTTTACCCGGGGTAACAGAGATCCCAAGGAATTCATTCGGTTTCTTATTCTAATGGATATTAGCATACCGCAAGTCCCTCATGGATAATAGTCTCACCGGATAGCCACGTTTAATGCAAGCACGGGGCTTCACCACCTGAGGGTGGGTGGTCTTGAGGTTATCGAATTGAAGGCAGTAGGGTTACCTATTAGGCGCAGGGAGGAATCTTCCAAGTTCAACAAGTTTCAGTAAATAGTTGGAATAGAAGTTTTCAGGGGTTTCACTAACACTGGCTGCATATTCCACCGGCCATTGGGTTGCTTGATGATCATCACAAGCGCAGAGCTTCTTATTCTCCTCAATGATAGAATCAGGTAGAAAGATAACCGACCAGAGAATTGTGCAAACACAATGACAGATATCGCGCCGGCAATATGCGGAGGAGTGGAGATGAGCCACCACTTTTGGAATTCCCTTCCCCGAGGGTGCATACCTCAATTTCAAGCCCATCTGGCAGGTTTTTTGGTAAGCATTTTGCTCGGTGGCAGTGTTCTTTCAATAGACCGGAAAACCTCCGGCCAGAAAATGGATAAAGCGCAGCACTAGTTCCAGAACGAATTGAGAAAAAGGCCATGAGCGTATCGATAAAGTTATATCCAGGGCTTCGTTTATGGCATAGGCAGTGTTGACCCGCTTACAGGGAGAGGCTCGAGGCCACAAGGGCGCCGCGTTCTGCGTTCTCGGAACGTCAAATTGTCACTGGCAGGTAGGGGAATAACTATAACGAAGATATTAACAAGGTATATAGGTACCTGCTTGTGGAAGCTTGGAGCCGACTTGTCGAAATGTTGTCTTATGATCAAACAGGTACTTCATTACCTGTATCAACATTAGATTCTGTGAAGGGGTATCCCCTTTACTATAACCACACACTGTTCTAAGCCTATCAACTTCCAATAATGTGAATCTTGCATACATGTGTTGTGTAAGGAATGAGATCTATCTCTCAGAACTCAATCCGCCATGCCTTACCGATGCCAACATTCGGCTTCTTCACCACAACGTAGGACGCCTTCCCGCTCTCCTGCTCGTGGAATTCCAACGAGGCCGTAGAGCCCGACTTGGCTCCATCTTCAATAACAGTCACAGTGTCCTTAATTTTCCATTCGGCGGGAGGGTCAACAACCACCACCCGCTCGACCGTCACACCAGCCATGGTCTTGAGGTAGTCAGCAGTCTTGGGTCCTTTAGTTCCAATGTCTTCTGATGACAACACCGACTCGCGGTAATTGAAGCGGCGGTGAATGTAGGCGCCATGCTCATAGTCGAATGTCTCGCCATCATCGACGTATAGAGTGCCTTCAGCTTCGCTATTCTTGTTCAAGGTAATGACCAGTGTGTACGGATCCCATCGCATCAGGCCGGTACTACGACGAGGACGGTCTTTGCGAGGAATGATGTGACCGCCCTGGATCAACACAGGAACCTTCTCCTCTGGTGCAGGAACAGTGTGCTTCTTGCCTGTGCCCTGGTAGACGGTGAAGTCAAAGTAGTCATAGTATTTCTCGTCATCGGAGATGTACAAATCCGCACTGTACGTGTTCTCCTGCACAACGGGCTTCACAAGCAGACCTGTGGAGCCAAGGTATAGCTGATCATCAATGGCAAAGCCTTGCTCGTCCTCTGGGAACATGTAGTATTGAGGCCGCACGATTGGCGTGCCGTTGACTGAAGCTTCATGGAAGGCAGTGTACCAAGCAGGCAGAAGTTGGTACCGCAGGCGGATTGCCTGGGCGACATAAGAGCGGTGCGGTTCGCTGATCAGATACGGCTCACGACGACGAGTGTCAATGTGCGCATGCGCGCGGAAGAAGGGATACCAGATACCCGTTTGATACCACCGGGTCAAAAGGTCCTTGTCAGGGTTCTGGAAGAATCCTCCGACATCTGCGCCGGCAAAGGGGAATCCTGCGATGCCGTTGGTAAGGACCATGGGAAGAGAAGCCCCCAGGTGGTCCCATGTAGCCTGGTTGTCACCAGTCCACATAGCAGACAAACGCTGAGCACCAGAGTAGTACGAGCGCGTCAAGATGAATGGCCGACGCACCTCACCCTTCTTGCGTTCAAGCATTGCTTTGTAGGTGGCGTTCAAAAGGGTGAGACCATTAAGATTGTGAATATCCCGATGTTCCCAGTTTCCATAATGCAAGTTGTCCTTGGGCATGGTCATGTCTGGCCCATTGAAAACAGAGGGTTCATTCATATCATTCCAGATAAAAAGATTCTGAAGCGATCCCTTGAATTTGTCAAACTTGTGCAGGGTGGCCCACCAGGCTTGTGCAGCGGGGTTAAAGCAGTCGACCCAGTTCGATGAACCTGGCCAGCACCATCCATCGTAAATCTCGCCATCCTTGTTCAGTACAGCAAGTTTCTTGCTTTTAAGCTCTTCGGAAACGAAGTACTTGTCCGCATTCTTAATGTGAGGATCGATCAAAACCACAAGCTTTCGCTCGGTTTCATCGAGCTTTTGCTGCATACCCTTAGGGTCAGGGAAGGTGAGAGGGTCCCAGGTGAAGTATTTCCGGTCATCGGTATATTCAAGATCAAGCCAAATCACATCGTACGGAATCTGGTACTTGTCGAACTTGGCGTTGACTTCTTTGACATCCTCGTCCGTAACATAGTTCCAACGGCATTGGTGATATCCAATGGCAAACTGTTGGGGCAGTTGTGTATATCCAGTGAGTTCACCATATGTTTTACTGATATCATTCGGCGAGGGCCCGAGGAAGACGAACAGATCAATCTGACCAGATTCGGAGATCCAATGAGTCTGTGTATCTGTCTTGGAGCGGGCACCCAATGTGAGGGGATTTGAGGAGGCAGTCGATTTAACAATATCGATCCACGTTTCCGCTGCATTAAGCCAGAAAACCCCGACAGTGGAGTTCTTGCGGTGGGCCTGCATCAACGGAATGGCTCCGTACAAGGTCATCGGGCTTTCCAGTTCATACTCAAAGACATCCGAGTTATACAGACGGTAAGGATCCTCATGGTTGCCAGATCCACCTCTGGTCTCCTTGAGCGAGAGTGAATCTGCGTGCTCTGGGATACCAAAAACATGACTATAACCGGGGAAGGTAACATCAAGAGCAACACTTTCAGGACCACGCGGCTTTGAGTCAGTATTTCCCCCAAACGTCTCCTCCCACCAGGTCCCCTCCGCATCGCCAGATTCGCCGTCTTTCTCGTCTACTTTCGGTCGCCAGTGCTCCATGTTCAATAAGCCTTGGTGGTTTAACTGAACGTGGGTCTGTCCATCTCGCTGAAATTCGACCCCAAATGGCGCGTGGCGAACAATTGCTTGGAATTTGTCGCCCGGTCCGTATAAAACATTGGTGAATCCAGTTTCGCTCTGAGCATTCAACGTGGCCGACTTGCTGACTTCCAAACCACCCACAATAGCCCATTTTTCAGTTTCATCATAGCGCTTCTTGTTCGCTTGGCTGCCATGCCGCATTTCAATGTCACCCTTCATCCGCTTCTCTTCATCCACCACAACGCGGGCGACTCCCGATTCCAAAAAAGACACCGTAAGAGGTAGCCGGACCTTCTCATTGGCAGTTATTGTTTTGAAAATGACACCAGTAAGTATCCCATCTTTGAAATGTACGGTGGCGGGGTCGAGCTCGTAGGGTGAGCTCCACGAAGTGCCTTGTGAGGAAACATTATCGGCATAGGCACGGTTTCGTTTGCAGAATCCAGACTGGTCGCAAGTTTTGAAATCCTTTTGTTTCACAGCCACTATATGTACCATGGGAGTTAGCTTACTGTAATCTTGCAATTTGGCGAAAGGCAGCCTTACAACCGGGTACAACAATGCATCCGAGGAAGATAACCAAGGAGAGCAACATCGCCCAACGGGGCGTAGGTAGACTCCTGGCCATGGTGAAATGAATAGTACGATCAATCAGAGACCCTCAATCTCCGACAGAATGGCGTTGGTTATCAACGATTGACCTGCATTTAGAGGTGAAGATGCCATCAACAGAAGCTACAAGCTGGCCTGAGCTGGGGTAAGACACCTAAGGCAACAAGGCAGAAATAACCGCCTCTGAACAGCCAATCAACTTGCTCGACCTTGGAACCAATCAGTGTCCGCAATTTGAACCCCTACTGCTTCCACGGGGGCCATACTGTCCAGGTATTTGTTGTACGGAGTACTCCGTACATCGTACATCTACAACATCCAAATCAGAGGGTTAAGGATCTTAGCAATGCCAGCTAAGTTTCCAGATCTCCCTTCAGCTTAGATCCTCACTACCGGCTGTTTGCGCAAAATCTGTAGTCGAAAACAGCACTCTCCTCTAGCAGGGGATGTTCATTCAAAAGCTTGCAAGAGGTTGGTCTACCCTCGGGATGCATTTCAATGGATTCCGTAAGAAGCTATAGAAGCTAGACAGGCTTCCTTGCTAAATTGCAGTTCCCAGATCTACCTATCTGAACAGGGTAGTGTCTCTTCGCAGGATGGAAATATTTTCAATTGGCTTGTGCTCAAGTCTCCAATAGCTTGAAACTAGAATCTGGGGAGCCAGTGCAGGAGGACATGACTAGCATGAGGTGAGGGCGCATGGTCCTGCAGCTGAAATTCAGGGGAAACGGCTGAGGACCCGGCTAGATGCGAAATGTTATCCCACGAGTTAGAGACCTTCAAAGTGTCATTAAACTGAGTGCTCTTACTTGTACTGAGCAGTTATTTTTGAATTGACCGAAATTTCTATATATGCAGTTGAGTTTCAGAGGCAAAAGAGTGAAGCTAGACAGTCTATACAGCTTTGGCGGCCCACTACTTCTGGCCTTAACATTCTGGCATCAACACCCCCACCAATCATTGGTCCAACTGAGAAGGCCCGAATTTTTAAACGGCCTCTATTTAATCTTCCCCTCTTCCTGCTCTCTTTCCCTACTTCATACCTGAATTATTATTCTCATATACATTCAAGATGTCCGCCAACGAGGAACAGACGTACGTGCCCCAAAATCAGTCTTCTGCTATCTCCCCTTCCTTTTCGATTGCCATTACCCCTCAATGCCGGTCAAGCTAACCAATTGCTCTAGTTTCATTGCCATCAAGCCTGATGGTGTCCAGGTACGGATATAGCATCCTTTAATCCGAGTCCATCATGGTTCCGGATGAACTTGCCCAATTGAACAACATTCACTGACAATGTCAACCAGCGTGGACTCATTGGCCCCATCATCTCTCGCTTCGAGAACCGTGGCTTCAAGCTCGTTGCCATGAAGCTCACCTCCCCCAGCCAGGAGCACCTCGAGAAGCACTACGCTGATCTCGCCACCAAGCCCTTCTTCAAGGGTCTCGTCGCCTGTAAGTTGCATCTCCCGAACTGTTCCGCAAATCACAACACACTGACCGAGCTCTAGACATGCTGAGCGGCCCCATCTGCGCCATGGTTTGGGAGGGCAAGGACGCCGTCAAGACCGGCCGTGTCCTCCTCGGTGCCACCAACCCCTTGGCTTCCGCCCCCGGTACCATCCGTGGTGACTTTGCTATCGTAAGAACACCCCCTCATAGTTTTTGTGTCGCGTTATTTCATGCTAACATCTTCACTAGGATGTCGGCCGCAACGTCTGCCACGGTTCTGACTCCGTCGAGAACGCCAAGAAGGAGATTGCTCTCTGGTTCGGCGCCTCCGAGGTCCTCAAGTACACCTCCGCCCAGTCCGCTTGGGTTTACGAGTAAATTCCTCGTCTTTAAGTAGACTGGTCGGGCGGATCTCTTGTTCAGATACTTCTAGCATAGAACAAAGCAGCGTTTCTGAGGAAGAAGTCCAAAGGCTTTGGAAAATATACAATTAACAAATTCATCTTCTTGTATGAGTGTGGTTCTCTCTGGTATCACAGTAGTGCTCGACTAGCTCATCCTCGTCTGAAGAGTCGCCTGGCTAGATTTGCTGTCGGTGTGAAGACCGAACTTGCAAACCACGGTGTGGCCCAAACACTCGCTGCCAACCGGGCTGGCAACAGAGCTTTTGTGATCGCATAGGCCGTAGCAAATTCCAGCACCAATTGAACACCTGCTCGGTCCACTGCCTTACTTCCGGTGGTTTCATGCTCCGCAACGGTTTTCACATCGGCCTCATTTACCCAACCTTTCTTTCTCAGCCAGCGGCCGAAACGCGCCGCTCCTTCGTCGAAGGCATTGGTCTCGCCTGTCTGCGATGCAAGATCCGGCATCCAGGCACCATAATGAAATGCGCCAGCTAGCCCGAATAGTGGAACAATAGCAGTGAGTTCGTGAAGCATTAGGAATGATGTGATATGGGTGACCGGCGCCCCAAGTAAGGGTGTGGTATATGCGCGAAGAAACCGAGGGAGGCGGTCGTTGAGCCGGCGCAGGCGAGATCGAGCATCACTAGGGCTCGACTGTGACAGCTTTGGTGGCTGTGGGGGAGCGGGGGTGGAAATATTTCGTTGCGACGCACGCGGTTTAGTGTTTCGAGCTGCTTGGAGACGGAGATTGCGGAGAAAATTGGGTGGTCGAGAAGCCATATTGTTGCGAAGGAATTGGCTAACTTGTGGAGTTTTGAAGGAGAGATTTGATATGCTCAAAAGAGAATTGTTCTCCGATGGCCCTTATACAGAAATGCAAAACAGTTTAGTGCTCGCGTTAAGCTTGTCGATCCCGATCTGAGAAATGACGATTATCTCGCTGAGTCATCTATAGCGCTGCCACTTTTTTTTCTGTGTGTCTTCGGGGCCAGGATAGAGTCCCTCCTTGCACATAAACTATATTCAAGCCTCAATTTTCATGTAGTGTATTTGCAGTAGGCCCTTAATGTGCGATGGCCACTGAGATCGGCAGCTGTAGACATTACCGTTCCCGGTACGACTACAGATGGTGACATGGTCCACTTTTGCCCGAATCCTCTCTTCTTCATCCAACCCCTCTTGTCGCCGACCCATACGCTAAAAGGCCGCAATGGAGAAGAAGATCACTGAGAAGATCGCGGCTCTGCCGCAGGATGCCAACTACTTTTCCTTGGAGTTCTTCCCTCCAAAGACCCGGATGGTGGGTTTACCCCGCGTGCTGAACGTATCGTGAACATTTGCTAATATGGTCTACTATAGGGTTTTGCTAACTTGTCCGCGCGTCTGGAGCGAATGGCCCAAGCACTGCGTCCTCTGTTTGTTACAGTCACCTGGGGTGCTGGTGGTAGCACTGCGGCACGATCGCTCGAGCTGGCGGAAGTATGCCAGCGCCAACTGCAGTTGACGACCGTCCTGCATCTGACCTGTACAAACATGAGCCGCAAGCTGGTGGATATGGCTCTAGATGAGGCCAAGGCTCTCGGAATTCGCAACATCCTAGCCCTACGAGGAGATCCGCCTCGCAGTGAGGAATACAATATGCATGGAGAGGATGATAGCAACAAGGATTTCACTTTTGCCGTTGATCTTGTTCGATACATTCGCCAGACACATGGTGACTACTTCTGTGTTGGTATTGCCGCATACCCGGAGGGCCATCCTGCGGACACCTTCCAAGACCTCCAGGATCCCGTCAGAGATATTCCTTACCTGGTCGAGAAGACATTGGCTGGAGCAGATTTTATCATGACTCAACTTACCTACGATATCGAAGCTTACCAAAAGTTCGAGAACACGCTTCGCAACCATGAGTCCGGTGCTTTCAAGACTATTCCCATCATTCCGGGCTTAATGCCCATCCACAGCTACAAGATTTTGACCAGGGTGACTAAGCTCAGCCATGTGACGATCCCACCTCCCATTGCCAGACGTATGGAAGAGTTAAAGCACGACGACGAAGCGGTCAAGCGCGCGGGTGTGGATATTGTTAGCGAAATTGTGGGTGGTATTAGGGACATCCCCTCCCCGGGCCCCCGAGGATTTCATTTCTACACCTTGAATTTGGAGAAGACAGTATCATTCATCCTGGAACAATGCGACTTGATTCCGTCTTACTCTGATGCTGGAGACCTTGCCATTGAGGACGATCCCGCATCGATTCCACTCGATTTCCCTGGACGTGCGTTGCGAAGACGCCGTGCGTCCTCTATCAACTCACAACCCCACAACCGCGTCGTTGTCGACAAGCTATCTGTCCACGGGTCATCGCAAGATTCCGTCCATGAGGCTCGCGCAGACAGCGCAGGCGTGCCCGCACCCCCGCCAAGCCGCAGCACAACTCTTCTTATCTCCGAGGGTCTCGGTGCCCTTGGCAGGGAAGCAACATGGGATGACTTCCCCAATGGACGATGGGGTGATGCTCGCTCGCCTGCATTCGGTGAGATTGATGGATATGGACCCTCGCTTCATGTCACTGCCAACTCCGCACGTAGGCTATGGGGCCACCCGGTGGACTCCAAGGATATGAGTACAATCTTCCGGCGCCACGTCTCGGGAGAACTACACATGGTTCCGTGGTCAGAGGGCGGTGCCGAAGAGGACGGTGAAGGTTTGAATGCAGAGACGGAGCTAATTCGACCGGAGCTGTTGAAGCTAATTGACGGCCGCGGCTGGTGGACACTGGCCTCGCAGCCCGCAGTGAACGGTGTACACAACGACCACCCCATCTTCGGCTGGGGCCCTCAACGAGAAGGCTTCGTCTTCCAAAAGCCATTTGTGGAGTTCTTCTGCTCGAGCAACGACTACACCAATATCCTGAAGCCAATGTTTGCTAAGCACGGCCACGACAAGCTCACCTGGTTCGCGACAAACATCAAGGGCGATTTTGAATCCTCACTCCCAATCCAGCCTGCTGACGTGGAGCTCGACGACCTTGGCTCTAATCCTGAGAGTGTCAACGCTGTTACCTGGGGTGTATTCCGCGGAAAGGAGATCGTCACCCCCACCATCATCGAGGAAGTGAGTTTCCGCGCTTGGGGCGAGGAGGCATTCCGAATCTGGGATGAATGGCGTCGCATCTACCCCCGCGGATCGCCTACTGAAGCCTACCTCGACACAACCAAGAACGACTCTTGGCTTGTGTGTGTTGTCGGTCAGCAGTTCGGTGCCGGTACTAAGCAGGGCTCCAAGGAGGAGGAAGACGAGGTTAAGTGGATGTGGCGGGTCTTGGCGGGCGAGGAGGTTTAAGATTGCGTCTTGGTATAAATTGGGATAAATAAACACCCCGTATCAATGAGGGTTCTCACGGTTGACGGTTAATTAGAGCAAGCCTGGATATGTGAACTAGAACTATGAATGGCACAAAATCCGGATTAATGTAAACTAGTCTTGACCCCATCCCAAGAAGATGAAGGTTACGATTATGCGTGCACTCCTGTTTTATGTTAAAAAAAAAGTTTTTCTTGGATTTCGTACGCAAGATGCTAAGTAAATGATTTTGGAAACAAGTGCCATTTCTCATGCAAGCCCTTGCCAGAGGCGATCTTTACCGCTGCAGGGTTTATCACAACTTCTCGGCAAACCCGTGTTCCTCGAGTCCACTCGCGTCGGTGTCCGGTGTAGCAATTTCAGACTGGGCCTCGGCGAATTTTTGTATAGCATCTTCAAGTTGGCCGTATACCTTAGGCATGCGGCGGGGCTGGTTAGGCCCGTTGGCCGGGAGTTGATATCCACGTAATCTAGATAATTAGTGATTTGAAACAAGCAATGCACCTGGAATTGATAGTTGATATACCTAGGACCTTCTCCACTAGTCTCCGGCATCGAAGAGGCATAAAAACGAGCAAACGTCTCAACATCCTGCTCGAAGGACCCACGTTGGATACTTTTCCGCACTCCTGCGAAGAATTTATCCATGATGTGGAAATTATGGACCTGAAGGAGGGCCCAAGCAGTCATCTCCTTGGCAAGTAGGAGATGGTGGATATAAGCACGATGGTAATTTTTGCAGGCATAGCATTCACATCCATCGCACAACGGTGACACATCTGTAGCGTGACTTCCAGTCCACAGATCCACTCCTAAAGGCAAAGGCTCAGATTTGCCCTCTTGCAGGGTAGCAGGAGCCGGGAAGACGAATTCCATCGCAATACCACCATCTGATGCTGCGCCCAGAAGTGGCGTGGTCAGAAGGTCTGCTCCGAGGGATATATCACTCAGGATAGTGTGGGGAGTCTCGGGTTCACTGAAGAGCAAACGAGGTAGGTTCGCCAACGACTCTGGAACAAATCCCAATGACGCAGATTGATATAGCGCGAGGCCGGAGACATCCCACCGGAACTCGCTCTCCAAATCATCCAAATAGAGGGACTGCTGCGCATTATCAAGAGGTAAGATTGGTGCAAAGAATGCGCTTTTTGACTTTTCCCGTTCTGCCACAGCGTTCCCATAGAGCTGCTCCAGTGCATCTCGGGTCCAGGCATGCGTCCGGTCAACCATCTTCCCCCTCCTCTTGGATCCGGGCTGTTTGTTAGCCAGATCTACCATTCCAACCGCAATATCAGGTCTCAGCTTTTGAACCGCCTCAACATATTCATGCGCAGATAACTGGGTGAACCCGACTGAAGTCAGCAGCGCGACGGAAGTCGATGTGTTCGCAGGGGGGCATGGGATCGGAGGGAAACGCCGCGGACCTAGGATCAAAGGCATATCGGCGGCTACACAAATGAATTTTTTCAATGGCGACTCATGATCTGCAGTGGGTGTCTTGTAAACAGGGGCCTGCTTTTTCGCGATGACTTGTCATGTGCCCGAGAGGCATGCGCTGTCAGTTTTGGGAACCGATTGTGGTCTTGTTGCAAGATTCCGCTTACAATCTTCCAATCCAACATACAAGCTATTGATCTCCGTGTGATCGCGCATCAGATCGTGCGCAACATGTGGAACTGTGCCTCTCGAAGTGAGCGGGACATGGTGCGGCGTCGCAAGGGTCTTGCGGCCTGGAATGGCCAATTTGCCTACTCGTGGCGCAAGGACTGGAGCAGTGGACGCCAGGACACTGAAGGTCATCTCTGGGGATGCGGACGTCGCTTGGTCCATGGCGTTCGTGGGTTTTGAAAGATCATTTTGCGGGCGGCCTGGATCTTGTTCTTATCAGCCAGAAGAGATCGGATTTCCCGACAAACATCGCCTTTACTTCCCTCCTTCGGAAACTTTCATTTGGCCTACTTTTCATGCATTCAGCTTGAACTAAGGAACTTGATCTACCGTTCTCAGAAATTTTCACCCAAGCACAGCCTTCCATCTCAATCAATCATGACAGATTCACCAGCGCCACCGACGCGACGCGGAGCTCTCATTGTTGTCGAAGGACTTGATCGAGCTGGCAAATCAAGTCAATGTGAGATGCTACGGGATTCCCTCTCACGACAAGGTCGTGTGGTCAAATACATCCGATTCCCAGGTACTCTTTAGTAACTCGTTTGTCATGGGTGCCATTGGTCTAATAACGTCCTTTAGACAGAACAACGCCCATCGGACAATTGATTGATAGCTATCTACGCGGCACATCGCACCAAGACGACCATTCCATTCACCTTCTTTTCTCTGCAAACCGATGGGAGATTGCGAAGAGTATCGAAGAAGACATCACGAACGGAAAAACAGTCATTGTAGACCGCTACTCCTATTCCGGGGTTGTCTACTCGGCCGCAAAAGCGAATCCCACATTATCACTAGAATGGGCGTGGCAGCCAGAAATTGGCCTACCGCGTCCAGACATCTGTCTTTTCCTTAGCATTTCACCCGAGGAAGCGGCAAAGCGCGGTGGGTTCGGTGCCGAGCGGTATGAAAACGAGGCAATGCAAACCCGCGTGCGGGAGCTCTTCCGAGTGATCTTTGAGAAGCAGCATGATGTGTCCATTATCGATGCGGGGAAAGCAATCGATGAGGTTTCACGGGAGATACAGGGCGCTGTAGCTGGTTGCATTGCACGTCTGGACGCAACGGGCGCGTTGGGGAAATTGGAGCCTTTTGGCGAATTAACGAATCAGAAATTAGACTGAGCTTGGTTCCGATTGAGTTTCATTCAACGAGTTCTGCGTCATCCCAGTCGCTGTCTTCAATCACGATCTCGAGCTTTGGTGGAGGTCGAGTCGAGCGGTGCTTCTGTCGGCCCTCGAAATCAGAGTCGGATTCTATTTCTACTTCCTCGAACCAATTTGGCCCTAGGTCGTCTTCGGTCGGCTCTTCCGACAGTGACCTTGGTTCAATAGAAGTTGACTGAGGTCCTGAATATGCCTCCATGGCAACAGACTCTTTGCGAGCACGTTTCTCTTTCTTTCTTAAAATTGCACGCGCCTCCTTGTCTGCTCTGTTGCGGAAGCTTAGCTCTCGCATCATTGTCACCCATTGTACGGTGTTTCTGCACGACAGGCAGGTCCCTTCGATGGGCACCAGGAGACCTGGTTCGTTGGTCGCATCGAGGAATGTGGTAGATAAACATAATAAATGACTCGTGCCGCGGCAATTCGGGTGTGGACAAACTACTATCTGTTCTTCGCCTGGGAAGATCGACTCTCTACAGACCGTGCACTGCAGATCATCCGGATCTTCCAGCATGAACATTGACTTTTCGATATGGTCCTCAAGCTTGGTGTAGTTAATTGATAGGTTTTTGACGCTTCCAACGGGTGCGAGCTCGTCGCCTTCCTTGGAATTGGGCACCGTTGCAAGGTTGTCTCCATCTGTGATAACCTTGATGTTGCTGGGCAAGCGACCATCTACACGGTCATTCCAGGCACGCCACACACGATAGACATCAACACAAAAGAAACGGGCTCGTAACGGCCAAGAGGAGAAATAATTCGAGCGAAGCAAAGAATGCAAATCCTCCAAATGTGCCATTAGGGATCTCCTAGTCCGCGCTCTGGGTTTCGATTTTGGCTTGCCTGTCTTCGCATTGGTATTGGCCTTAGCTCGAGGCTTAGGGTCTAAGCCATCTTCGGAATAAAGGTGCCGCGACCTTTCTGGATGTTGCCAAGCCCATCTACGCGAAGTGAGAAATTGAGACGCGATGTATTAAATCAATTCACATGCGACTTACTCGAATTGCAAAGCGCCGACTCTGCTCGTGAAACCCTCTACGACAAGGGTCATTTCCCAAGGGCGTAAGCGATCTCTGGCTGTTCGCTTGGCCCCACCTTTAGCGACACCGTTGTGCTGAGGGAGTCGTCTGATCGGGTTTGGCGTCGAGCCGATGTACAGCGAGGCGTGTCGAACCGTCGAGCGGAGGAGATAACAACAGTAATATGCCGGGATTGGTTTGGGATTTTCGGACCCCTCCATGGTGTTTGTTTTGGAGCAATTCTTAATAATTTTTCACATTGAGATGTTTAATTCAACTTTGTAGGCTTGTCAAGTCTTTGAATTTAGCTCTGCCTGTCTAATACGGGCGGGTCCTAAACGGTAGCTTATATACATCAGATCACATGATGATGTATTTTTTCCCTCTCAAGGGAAGGGGAAACGAAGTTGCAGTCTAGGGATACGTTAGTAGAATTTCAATACCAGTAGCAGTTATTAAATTTGTAGTTAAGGGATTTCAAAGAATGACAAGAGAAAGTCTTTCTAAATGTGCTGACACTCCATCTCATCATCAGCTAAACATATCAGAAAGGCAAAAACGATTATAAAATACATGTTTAGGCTTCGAATTCTAGCAAGCTATAGAATTAAGGTCTATACATAGGTGATATCACGCTAGAAAGACTCATACTCTCTCAATTATGTCACAAGACACTATAAAACTAGTTAACCACCCCAAATACAGCTTCGTAAGGTTGGGCTCCCAAATACACAACGTATGATCTTCTCCCGTTTGCAGCATTGCAGTATAATTACTAAACTTTCGCGTGAATCTCAGGGCCTAAGCGGTACCTGAGCTCAGCTTAGCTCATTCTTACAGTAACTCATATACCGTACTGATCGGTACCATCGCTGCTGGGTTGGAGGTTCCCCCATAGTCACTCATTGGTTCCTTTCCTACTGGCTGGCCACACAAAAGGGACCTGGCAGTACTTCTGGAGTACCACCCCAGTCGATCTTTACTGCACATAATCTCATTCCTCCACTCTTAAGGTTTCTATCCCATCTATCCTTCTTTCCTCTCTGCGACTTGGGCCTCTCTTCTCTTGTTCTATTGCCTTTTGCCCGAGTCAATATTTTCTTTCACTTCCCCTAAAATACCATTCTCTTATATTCTTTGGTTCGTCTCCAATCCTTCAACCTTCGGTCACATGAACAGGAAGCCGGCAGCCGCCTTTCCTGATATCTATCATCACGCCCTGCCTTTGCCGCATTATAGTCATTGTTAATCGAATTTCCTCAATAGACGCGCCCAATTCAACATCTCCCCGATCGCCTGTCCCCATTTGAACAATGGGAGCTCCGGCCTCTGCCGGGGCGACCTCGACGGCCGCGGCAGCCCAGCCGACTCGGTCCTCGAGCACCCATCCGTCGCACTCCCACAACGTGCCCCTGAGCGCTCGCAGGTCCACGCCTCTCGATTTGTCCACCGTTGAACGACGTGGACAACCCAACAACCCTAGAGAACCATCCAAGCGCATTCGTCCTCATGGTATCCCAGAAGCCCCGACTTTCCGTCCAACGGAGGAAGAATTCAAAGACCCGGTGGCCTACATTCAGAAGATAGCCCCAGAGGGGAAAAAGTACGGAATTTGCCGAGTGATTCCACCAGAGGGTTGGCAACCGACTTTCGCAATCGATACAGAGGTATAATCACTCCTTCTACCAATGCATTCACCGTCGCTTCCCGCACATAAACATGCCTGACAATGGATACAGCGATTTCACTTCAAGACCCGTCGACAAGAGCTCAATTCGGTCGAAGGAGGTAAGTGCCCACATTTTAGCATATCAGGCTGCCCCGGCTGGGAGGATCACACCGCAGCGCGGTTCTGACCCTCGTTCTCGAAAATAGGAAACCGTGCAAACATGAATTACGTCGATGGGCTTGCCATGTTTCACAAACAGCATGGTACTAACTACAGCCGGTTACCCAGCGTCGACAAGCGACCATTAGATCTTTACAAGCTCAAAAAGGCAGTAGAAAGTCGTGGCGGGTTTGAATCCGTGTGCAAGACGAAAAAATGGGCAGAAATCGGTCGTGATCTTGGATACAGCGGCAAGATAATGTCTTCATTGTCCACTTCGCTCAAAAACTCCTACCAGCGCTATTTGCAGCCTTACGAGGAATACTTGGCCAGGGCCAAGCCCGGTGTGCAACAACAGCTTGAGCTTGAGCATGGTGGCCCATACACACCCTCGCCTCTACAATCCCCCATGACTCACAAGCCTATGTTTGATGAAAATGGCACACCTTCCAAAGTCCGCGATGAAACTCCTAGCCTGCCTCGAATGGCCACGTCACATACCCCAATGGCGTATACTCCAATGGCACATACCCCAATGGAGAAGTCCCCAGAGAAGCCAACACCCCCCATCGAACCTACTCCTCCCCCTTCTTCGCGCCCAGCGGCTGCAGGATTTACTCCCGTCAATTCCAGCCTCGGTGGCTTTACCGCCGTCAACCACTCCCCTTTCACCCCTGTGAACAATGGCCCGCCAATCAAGCGGGAGGGAGAGAATGGCACGTCAACGCCCAAAGTCGTTCCTGAGCATGCTTCCATCTCGACGCCAACAAATGCTCATGATGAGGAGTCTCTTAAGCGTGCTATCAGCCGCGAGGAAAGTTCTCAGTGTGAAAACGGCGATGATGATGATGGAAGCGGTCGACGCAGCAAGCGTCTGAAGAAAGGTACACTTTTCGTTGCTCTTCCAATACTCTAAGCTAGCCTAATCTAATGCCACTTCCAGATTCCTTCCCAACGGTTGCGGGCTCTCACATGTCACTTCTTCGCCCAGCGCCGGTTAGATCGCGCAAGGATGGCTCCCAGCCAGCCGGAGAGGTAGGCGGCTGTTCGTGGAAGCGTTTCAATGAAATACTGATTTATGAACAGAAATGCGAGACCTGTGGCAAATCGGATGATCAAGGGTCGATTCTTGTCTGCGACGGTTGCGAGCTTGGATATCACAAAGCGTGTCTTGATCCGTCTACTACCACGCCCACAGAACACGACTGGCACTGCCCGAAATGCTTAGTTGGCACAGGTGAATTTGGATTTGAAGACGGCGGTGTTTACTCACTAAAACAGTTCCAAGAGAAGGCCAATGAGTTCAAGAAGAAATACTTCGCTTCCAAAATGCCATTCGACCCTGTTCTGAACACCCACCGACGCGAAACTGAGGACGACGTGGAGGCCGAATTCTGGAAGCTTGTCGTTGATCTACATGAGACGGTTGAAGTCGAATACGGCGCAGACATCCATTCTACTACGCATGGAAGTGGATTCCCTACTATCGAGCGGAATCCCCTTGACCCATTTTCGTCAGATCCCTGGAATCTAAACGTCCTTCCATTCTATGGAGACTCGCTCTTCCGTTACATCAAGTCTGATATCTCTGGCATGACCGTTCCCTGGGTCTATGTGGGGATGTGTTTCTCCACTTTCTGCTGGCATAATGAGGATCACTACGCTTATTCAGCCAATTACCAACATTTTGGTGCTACCAAGACCTGGTATGGAATTCCAGGTGCCGATGCAGAGGCCTTTGAGGCGGCCATGCGGGATGCAGTTCCGGAGCTTTTTGAAGGCCAACCCGATCTTCTTTTCCAGCTCGTCACCTTGATGCCACCGGACAAGCTTCGCAAGGCCGGTGTCAACGTTTATGCGGTGGATCAGCGAGCTGGTCAATTTGTGCTCACGTTCCCTCAAGCATACCATGCCGGCTTCAATCACGGCTTTAATTTCAATGAAGCAGTAAACTTCGCGCCTGCAGACTGGGAGCCATACGGTGCAGCAGGTGTTGAGCGTCTTCAAAATTTCCGCAGGCACCCATGTTTCTCCCACGATGAACTACTTCTTACCGCTGCTGCACGTGATACTACTATTGCCACGGCAAAGTGGCTTGCGCCTGCACTAGCCAGAACTTGCACTCGTGAACTGGGTGAACGGGCTGCCTTCCTATACCGGCAAAAGGAAGTGTCTGCTCGCACCCCAGGCTTTGGTCCTGACGCCATGAAAGACGACGCGCAGCCGAGATTCGTAGTTGAAAACGAAGACCTTCCTGAGGATGATTACCAGTGCCAACACTGCAAAGCCTACGCTTACCTCACTCAGTTCCGTTGCCACAAATCAGGCAAGACTGTTTGTTTGTCGCACGTTGACACCTATGACTGCTGTGGTGAAACCTTTGCTCAGAAGCTGTGCGGCTCAAGACACACCCTCCGTTATCGCCTGAGTGATGATGATTTGCAGTTGCTCGTTCAAAAAGTCCAAGAACGGGCCAGAATCCCTGAAGCATGGTCTGAAAAGCTCGACAAAACCCTGGAGAATGAACCGAAGCCTCAGCTTAAGGCCCTTCATAATTTGCTCAATGAAGGTGAGAAAATCCCATACCACTTGCCAGGCCTTCAAGATCTTGCGGCCTTCGTCCAGCGTTGCGATAAATGGGTTGAAGAAGCCAACAACTACATTACCCGGAAGCAGCAGAACCGGAGAAAAAACGAGAAGGCTTGGCGCAGAGCCAGTACCAAGGCAGCGCAGCTGGACGATCGCGATCGCGAAGTCCGCAGAATCGAACATATCTACGCCCTTCAGGCAGAGGCTGATAAACTTTCGTTCGACTGTCCACAGATGGCGGCGCTGGAAGAGAAAACCCGCGAAATAGAGAAATTTCAACAAGATATTAATAGTGCTCTCATGCATCCACACACCCGCCCTCTCCAAGAAATTGAAGAACTGATTGAACGCGGCAAAAATTTCAATGTGGAAGTCCCGGAACTGGAACACCTAGAGCAAGTCTCCCGCCAAATCAAATGGATTGAACAAGCTACGCGCAAACGAGACCAGCACATGACCCTTACCGATTGTCAGGAACTTGTCGCTGGTGCGGAGCAGCTCGGCCTTTCTGCTACCAATGAACACTTGGTTCATTTCAAGGAGCTTGCTCGTCATGGGGATGCGTGGGAAATGAAGGCCAAGGAATTAATGTCTGTTGAAGCTGTTCACTACCAGCAATTAGAAGCTCTCTCTGCGCAAGCGTCTCGTTTTCCTGTTTCACCTGATACTCTCGCGGCCGTCGATGCTATATTGACCAAGCAGCGTGAAGCGCAGAAACGGATCCAGACTCTGTATGAAAAGAGCAAGGACGTGGAGATGAAAAATCGGCCCAGGTACAAGGACATACGCGACCTTATGGAATCTCTCGAGCATTTGACGAGTCGACCTATCGGGGCAATTGACTTGGAACGTGAACAAAAGCGTCATGAAGACTGGATGAGAAAAGGGAAAAAGCTCTTCGGCAAGGCGAACGCTCCACTTCATATTCTGAGATCCCATATGGAATATGTCGAGAAGCGGAACTCGTACTGTTTCGACCTAGAGGACAGCTACCGACCGCCTGTGGAGCCTTCATCTCGAGACAATTCGCCAGAAGGTTTGCTTGAGAATCCTGGCAATCCTACCAACATGTGGGGCCCAAAGTCACTCAAGCGAGATGTGTTCTGTATTTGCAGGCATCCTGAAGCAGGGATGATGATTGAATGTGAAGTCTGCCACGAATGGTAAGTCAACAACCATTGAGCTTCTAGTTTAGTTTACTGACCTATGTAGGTATCATGGCAAATGTTTGAAGATTGCTCGTGGTAAAGTAAAAGAATTCGACAAATACACCTGCCCAATCTGCGATTGGCGTCAAAAGATTCCGCGCGATGCTGCACGTCCCAAGCTTGAGGATCTGCAAGATTGGCACGCGGAGATCGCAACTTTGCCTTTCCAGCCGGAGGAAGAAGAAGTTCTTGAGAGCATCATTAATCAAGCGACAGCCTTCCGCGATTTCCTGCATGGCTTCACTAATGCTGCCTGCACAACGACCGAGGAAGTCCCTACTTTGATATTCTACCTCCGCAAAATCGAGGGTGCTGAGGTTCTTCTCACGTTTGAGACGAATTTCTTCCGGCAGGAGATACACAAGTGGGCACCCGTCGCACCAGAACCCCCTCCAATTCTGGAGCAATCTCTGTCGACACGAAAGCCGCGACCGACCAAGCAGCAGAAAATCATGGCCCAGCTTGGTGTAAATCGTCCTGAGGATCTCCCGGAGCATCTTCGCCCTAAGCACATTGGCTTAACCAAACGGAAATCTGTTGACGCTCAATCGCAGCCGGGTCCTAGTCAACCTGCATCCATGCAACCAGTACCGCCCCCTTCTAGTAGTGGACAACCTCCTAGCACAGGTCCAACGTTGGCTCAGATGACAGATCCAAATGCTGCACCATATCCATTCTCTGCAAACTATTCATTGCCTGCAAGCGATTCCACACCCGCGTTTACACCTACGTCGTCCTCGGCATTCCTGCCCCACGCAGCCGCTTCTCAGTCCCCCTCATTCCTACCACGCTCTCCTCCCCAGCCAGACCTGGAAACTTCCCTTTTCAGCCCTCCACGCTTTGGTCATGATCCTCAGTTCGCGAGCAGCAGCCCTCGTCAGAACCTGGACGACGTATTTGCTGACTTGACCAACCAAGAAATTGATCCTGAAGCTGACAATCAGGCTATGGAGAATACCCATGCCAATGAGGCCCTCGAGGCCCTCGTGGTCAGCAATGGCAGTAGTCGTGCTGCCTCTGTTCAAGAGGAATCGGCTCAAAATGGTGAAACTGGGGAACCGCATGGTGAGCCCAAACTCGATGGCACCAATAGAGACCTTGAAGACGAGGAACTTTGACCGGGTCTTGCTTTCTATCCTCAATGAACTGATTTTTCTGAAAACTTGGCCTTTGCCAGTTTTTGTTTACCATGTTCTGATTGTTTTATTGCGTTGCTTTCAGTCTTTTGTTTACTCGCCTCTCCTAAGCTTTTATCGTTCTGTTCGGATGAATTGTCAAAAAATGGTGTACAAGAAACGGGATTGGCGAGTATGGGGGTGTTTTCCAGCGATTCCACGCTTTTCTGATTTTCCATACCACAAGACTATGTCTGTCACGACTGCTTTTCTTTGCTGCTGCCGACATCATGTAATACTAGTTGAATTCAGCCATTCTTACTCACGCTTCCGACTAGAAATCTCTTGTCAATATGATCTATATGATATCCGCATAAGCTCCTAGAGCAGCCTGTCCACCTGTATGAATGAACAATAAATTGACCTGATCCAAGGGCTTGGCAGAGTTCGCAACTTCTCCCTCGTTCACCCAGTGCATCATGCCTCTCGCAACCTTGGCTGTATAAACTGGATCCAGCACCATACCCTCTGCCCAGGCCATAGTTCTTAGAGCCTCTTTACTCTCGCCATCTAGCACGCCGTATGCAGTCCCAACGAATCGATCATCAAGCCGCACATCCTCAACCCCAATTTCCCGCTCCCCATCGAGTCCAATCAACTCGCCCGCCCTCTGCGCAAAAGCAAGCACCCGCTTTTCATGATATTCCCGCTGCCTAGTCGGCGAATTAAGAATCCCAACAACCTTCCTCGGCTCCCCAATCGTGTTTGGCACACCTGATTCCCTAATCTTCTCTAACAGCGTAAACCCAGCCACCAACCCACCAACCGTACTCCCACTTCCACACGCAACGAAGACATAATCAAACCTCCCCGAACCCCCAAGCCCCATCTCCTCCTCCTGCGCAGCAATCTCAAACGCCGCCCGCGCATAACCCAGCCCACCAAGTGGATGCAAGCTCGCGCCACCAGGGATCCAATACGGATTCTGCCCCGATGCCCTCAATTCGTCAAGAAGAGGCGTCGCATCCATTCCCAGTGGATCATCTTTTTCGCAGACACGAACCTCCGCACCGAGAAGGTGATTTATTTGCACATTTCCGCTGCGTTGGAAGGCTTCCTTGTCGTCGGCTGCTGTAAGACCGCCACCTGTGCCGCGGTGTAAAAGAATGAAGGCTTTCAGGCCCAGTTTCCGGGCTAGAGCGACAACTTGCACGGTGTGGTTGCTTTGGATTGCGCCCTCTGTTACGAGAGTTGTTACTACGCCTTGCAGTGAGCCTGAAGGTGTTGGATTGTTCTCATGACTGTGATAGAGGGGTGTTTGAGACAGGATATCCGGGACTATATATTCTAGTTTGCGATATTTGTTGCCTGCACATGCTAGTGGGGAGGAGTGGTCCTCTCGTTTGGCGTGAATAGTGATGAGGGGGTGGTGCGGGGATGCTCGTAGGGGTGCAATTGAGGATAAGGGGTGGATGGGAGAGGGATTTGAGTATAGGATATTATAGCGGGATATTTGGGCGAATTTTTCTGGCAACTGTATCTGAACAGACATTATTCTATGCATGGCTTCTGATGTGGTCAAGTTGGGATCTCGTGATGGGTTTTGTATTCAGTGGCCAAATGTCTAAGGCATCAATGCACTTGATCATGTGTCAGCAATTGAATGACGTCGTCCATCTGCCCACATGAAGCTCTGTGATCCGTTGATGCAACAAACATGACACTCCTCCAATTTTTACGACAAGCCCGCCAAGTTCACCTCCAGTTCCTCTCGGGTGCCCTCCCCGAGCCTCCAATCTATGTAATCGGCAATCCCTCTGCCGATCTTGACTCCATCGTCTCGGCGATCATCTACTCCTACTGTGCGAACAACCGGCTCCCAATCAAAAGCCCGCGACCCCACATCCCACTCTTAAACTTGCCCAATTTTCCCGCAGGGACAGAGTTGTATCGGCTAAGACCGGAATTCTCGGCTGCGCTATGGTCATCAACAAACTTCCCCGCCCTGAAAAGTGAAGAGCAATTCGAGAACACCCTACAGTCTGCAGGTAGTTTCCTACGCCAGCATGTTATGACCGTCGCAGACTTCGCGCAGTCTCTCCAAGACCAGCATGTGTGGAAACAGATACTCGCCGATGCAACGCTGGTAGACTGGAACGCATTCTCGCGCTGCTCGGCCGATAAGGGTTCGGGATCCCTGACCGGGTTGCCGGGTGTCTCCTTCCGGACTGTTGGGTGTATCGACCACCACGTCGACGAGAATTTCATGCCCAGCGTGGACGAAATACCAGAAGGTCAGCCGATGATTATTCAGCCGGGACCCGGGTCATGTGCATCACTCATCACGCGAGAGTTGCAACAGCGAAAACTATGGGACACAACCCCGGAGATGCTGCAGGTTGCGAAGCTTGCTCTTTCCGCAGTGCTGATTGATACCTCAAACCTCACTGCGGAAGGCAAAGTGACTGATGTAGATCGTATGGCTGTTGAACTCCTGCAATATCAAATTGAGGGAGAATCACAAGCTGCGGCGAATGCCAAAGGCGATTGGGAGATAGAGGCGTTCTACAAGAGCATCCTACATGCTAAGCAAAACAGCCTTGATCTTCTTTCTTTGGATGAAATTTTGGACCGAGATTACAAAGACTGGACTGAGACGTCACAGTCCTCGGGCAAGACCGTGAAAACGGGCTTCTGCTCTGTCGTCAAGCCCATGCGATGGATTGTACAGAAGGCGGGTGGCCCGGAGAAGTTCCTTGATGATGTTCGCTTGTTTGCGGCTTCTGCCGAGAAAGAGTTAGATGTTCTTGTTATCATGACAGCGTTCACTGGCACTAACGACAAGTTTTGTCGCGAACTATTCGTCAGAGTGACGGGTGACAATGAATCAGCCGCCAAGGGCGTCAAGAGGTTTGTTGCGCAATCTTCTCACCATCTTGGGCTTATAGAATGGTCTCCGCTCGATTGGGAGGAGATTCCTGAGCTGACTGGAGATTGCCTTTCTACATTAAACGAGGAATTCCCCCTCTGGAGGAGACTTTGGGTACAAACCAACGCGGCCGGGAGTAGGAAGCAGGTTGCGCCGTTGTTGCGGGGAGCGATAGCTAAATTATAAATGAGATATATAGAAGAACACTGGGAGATGTCAGATGTCGAATAGCCTGTTGGTCTATCCTCAATCTTGTAGCTTTTTCGACGTACCACTACTCGCAGTCTTTTGGTTACTGTATATTATATGACCACTTATGTGGACTCAAATTCCTATTAATTCTGCTCTCAACACCGAAATCCAGATCTCTGGAACAAATCCCCAACAAATAGAATACATTGAATGCAATGCCCCCGGCTAACCTCATGCAAGTGCTAGTACGCCAGGAGGACAAAATGACAAAAAGATATGCAACCCGCAATAAGAAGTTGCAAAATAAGAAGAAGAAAAGTAGATAGGCATCTCATCCTGAATAAGGTGTATCAGAAGGCTTTAGTTTAAAAGCCCAAAATGTGTAAAAGAAAAATATCAAACACACTCCCACTCACAAAATACACACCAGCGCGCAGCTCGATCAGCTAGCACAAGACCGCGCCACATACCACGCTCACCGATCTTAATGACAGTCTCCCAAACACTGCCCTCAGCGACTGCATCGGTAACAGAGTCAGTGCCAGTATCACTGCTGATCATATGTTCAGCTTTACGGGTGAGACGAAGAATCTTGCCGGACGGGGACTGGATCGCTAGTTTCGCAGCCTTGTCCCGCCCAGAAGCTGATCTAGTCGACGAGATGACCGAGGTCGATGCCGAAAACTCATTAGACGCACCCGAGACAGTCGAGCCGCCTGCCGCGCTAGACACCATGCTCAGCGCACTGGACGGACGAGTGAAGACAGACGAGGGCGAGCTGCGGCCATTGGAGGACTCCTCCTTGGCGAACCCGGGAGCAGCAACGTGTTGTCGGACAGCGAAAACAAAGGTATTGTTGACTGCAAGACGAGAGCATTGCGGCTGCATGATGTACAAGTCGTGTCGCTGGGCGTGAGGTGTAGGATGGCGCTGCACAAAGTCGTAAGATGGATTCTCGCCTGTGTGGAGTATTGGTAGGGCTAGAGCTAGGGGATGGGGGATGTCTCGACTTGAGTGCATCAGACCTTTCCTGCCTGCATAAATCTTCAGGACACCCTGGCCTTCGTCGCCTGGCAGCACAGCCTTTACTGTGATGCGTTTTTGGCCGCGGATCCAATCCGGCTGGACCAAGGCGCGCTTCCGCACAATTTCTCCGCTTTCGAAGACGTCGCCATCTACGTCGCGGGCGAATCCTGGGGCTTCAACTTCTGCGGCACATTCAACGTCTGCGGGGACTATCATGCGTATTTGCATGACCTCCAATCCGTTGATGCGCAGGAAACTCGTGTCATAATCAGGCATCTGAATATTAAGCTTGAAAAATGGCGGGCACACGGTGGGCAGGGCGAGCAGAACTTCAGGTGAAATTGGCGGACAGATGTGTTGTTCTTCCAGATGGAGCGGGACATGAGTGTAGCAGAGATCAAGCGGGCGCGTAAGGAAGTACCAGCTCTCCGCTATGGAAGAGTTGTTGGAAACGAATTTACTGCGTTGAGGGTTCGTGGGGTTTGCAAGCGCGCAATCTATAAAGCGCCATTCGCCGTCTACCAGAACTGAGTTCCACCAATGCTTGGGACGGGAGTGGCTTTCCAGATCAAGGGCATCGCCGGGGCTCTTAAGGAATCCTCGGATGATTTCTGTATGCAGGCCAACGGCTGCGCACATCTCGTGCACCAACATTGCGATTTCCTTTGGAGTACCTCGTTTAGCATGTAGAAGTCTCTTCATATCAACTTCGAGGCCTTCAACAGGCTCCTCCCACGAGATTTTCTCGCTGACCCAGGTAAAGATGGCCCGAAGACGCTGAACGTCACTCTTGTAGGGTCGACAAACGTAAGCTTGGGCGAGGGTCGTGGGATTTGTCATTGGAGGTAGACTGCTGATGAAGCGTGCGCTCTTGTCAACAAGGTTAAGATTGGCCGCGTGGAAATTCGTTGGCTCGGTTATCGGTTGTCCATCGATGCTTTCATCGCCCTCCGCGGTATCGTACAGCTCTTCCACGGAGTAGATAACAGGGTGGTCCATCATCTGACTTTTTTCTGCCCTATCGATCCTCTCGTTTCGACTAGGAGACGACGCTCGGTTGACATCTCGGCGCACCTGAACCCAGTCAATGGTGCCATTTCCGAGTCCCACATCACGACTGTTATCACGATTCAAGTGAGGCGCGGGAGCCGGTGAGACAACTTCTATCCCTCTGTTGCTCTTGGCTGGGGAACTTGTTCTATCGCCATGACCGACCGAAATGCTACTTCTTGCGCTGGCTGCACCAGTCTTAGCTGTTTCAAATATCTTTTTGAAAAACCCTTGCTTTTTGCTCTTTGGCGTGGAGAGACCACCGAAAACTCCGCTGTGATCTGTCGCATCAAGGCCAGTAGAAGACCACGGAATGGCCGATGATGCGCCCTGGCGCGACGAGTTATGACTAGAGTGATATGAAACACCGGTGAAAGGCGTCTCCGGGCGTACGTCACTGAATCCTCGAGAGCGGACAGTATCCATAGAGGTGTTCGGTCTATCATGCCCGCCTCGCCTGGCAAAGCTTCCCGCACTTGTCGCACTGAATCCTCCCGCAGAGAAACCGCTCATAACACTTCGATTGGTTTTGTCTGTGCTCGTGGTCATGGATGTGCCATTGCTTTGTACCCCACTGGATGAATTGGTGGCACTGGACTTGTTGGTGAATGAACGGTTGAGAATGTCACCCCGGAGATCATTGCCGGAACGCCGAGCCTTGAGTGGAACATATTGTCCTGGTATAGAATTATTTCGCGGGTGGTAAGTGGCATGCTTTGGGGGAGGGGGAGGAGTTCCATTGTCGTCGTCCTGACCGGCTCTGCGATCCTCTGTAGGTCGATTCTGATCTTCCAACTGGCGTAGGCGGCTCTCCATTCTTTGAACATAATTGTTCAGTTGAGGCGGGCCATCCATATGGTCATGGCTATAAACGCTGTTGCGGTGAACTTGTCCGCCCTCTGGTTGGTCATTGTCTCCATCAAAGCCTGGTGACGTCAAATGTCGGCGTCTGTTACCTTGAGAGGTTCTTTTGTGCGAGTTTTCAAATTCTTCAGGGGGCCAGTGGTCGTTGAACATCGGGGACGGGGAAGGTGACTGAGCTTCACGAGGGAGACCCATGTCTTCCAGTGAAGTCATAACATCTTCCATGGCATCTCGCAGCGGAGATGGTGTATTTCCATGGATGTCTGACCGCGCTGAAGTTTCAGAAACAGCGGAGTGTAGTGAAGATGCAGATGGGGACGGGGTACGATCAATCAGCGCGTAGCGGTCATTCATAAATAGGGGCGTGGGGGATCGTGATGGCTGCGGAGAGTGTGATGGCGGCTGCGGAGAGTGTGCACGATGGCGGGATGAATGTATGGGTGGTAGTGGCGAATGACTTCGTGTCTGAGAATGCATTGGCGGCTGAGGAGAGTGTGCGCGATGGCGGGATGAGTGTATGGGTGGTAGTGGAGAATGACTTCGTGTCTGAGAATGCATTGGCGGCTGAGGAGAGTGTGCGCGATGGCGGGATGAGTGTATGGGTGGTAGCGGCGAACGACTTCGTGTCTGAGATTGCATTGGCGGCTGAGGAGAGTGTGCGCGATGGCGGGATGAGTGTATGGGTGGTAGTGGCGAATGACTTCGTGTCTGAGAATGCATTGGCGGCTGGGGAGAGCGGGTTTCCGCACGAGCAACGACGACTCGGTGTGGGGGTGGCGGAGGGGGAGGGGGAGAGTCTTCCCGCTCCTCGTACATTTGCACTGGAGACGGCTCACGAGACGGCCCACGAGACGGAGCTCGATAGGATGGCATGATGCCGCGAGAGACTAGCGCATATTGATGTTTCTGGATTGGTAATGGTGATGGAGCCCGGTAGGAGGATACACCTCCATTTGGTATAGATTCAGGTGGGTGGTCCTGCATATGCAATGGAGATGGCTCACGCGAGAGAGCCTGGTAAGATGGCATACGGCCGTATGGGACCATCGCATATGAATGATCTTGCGTTGGTAATGGTGAGGAGGCCCGGTAAGATGGTATACTACCATGTGGCATCGTTGCGTGTGGATGATCATCCATATACATTGGAGATGGCTCACGCGATCGTGCCTGATAGGATGAGATACTCCCATGGGGAATGGTGGGTGGTGGATATTCTTGCATTTTTAATGGAGAGGGCTCCTGTGACGAGCCCCGGTAAGATGTAATACTTCCATGTTGCATGTTCGGTGGTGGATATTCCTGCATTTGCAACGGAGATGGCTCACGAGATGAAGGGCGATATGATGAGACTATGCCTTGTGAAATCATACTAGATGAACGCTCATGTACCGGCACGGGGGACGGATTGCGTGACACAGGACGGGTAGATGAGATGCTGCCCTTCGACGATGTTACATATGAATGTTCTTGCATTTGCAATGGAGATTGCTCGCGGGATGAAGGCCTAGATGATGTGACAGCTCCCCTTGGCAGCATCGATGGTGACCGCTCGGGCTCCGCAGACGAACGAGGAGAGACACCTCGTGAAGAAGACCGCGATCCGGATGACGTGGGTCGAGATAGTGAGCCTTGGTTCTTGACTGCTGTCGCATGCGTGCGCAATGGCTTCGTACTTCGTGGAATCCCGCCATCCCGAGGTGGTGTTTGGGGAATCGCGGGTGCCGCTGGGCTAGACTCAGTTGCGCGCCGAGCGACGGAAGCTGGTGATGAGGCTTCCTTGTGCGCCTGGAACGGTTTCCGCCAGACGGTCTTCTGTTTCTTGGGAGCTGATGTGGGATTGTTAATCGGAGACGTTCCCGCCAGCACCATTGGACTAGTAGTGTCCCGGCTGACGGGCACAAAGTCTTCGCTCAGAAGCTCGACAAAGTTTGACGGGAACAGTCCAACCGCGCGTCTGTCACGGCGCAACCGACCCATCCACCATTGTCCGTCGCCTGCATTCAAGCATTCGATCAAGTCACCCTCCACAAATCCGAGATCTCGTGTAGTCTCTCCTCCCCATGAATATATTGCTCGGCACCAGCAAGGAAACCGCACTGGCAGCTGAGCCATAGTGGTCACTTGGACACAGTTTCGCCGAGCGCAACACAACGGGATCGACCTAATAAGCGCTTTCGACACCTGGCGCACTTTTGTTAATTACACGTCCGGTTAAGGTAGGAAAATGATGTATCGATCGACGAGGTTTTGTTGTTGATTCGGCCCCAATACAACAGCTTCGTCAGATGTGTGGTGAGGTCCACACGGCCGAAGGGATAGCAACGATCGCTTAATCAATCAGCATTGTCGAAAGAACAAGGAGGTTTCAATTGGTTGTTCGAAATACAAAGGATTGACGAATGGAGATTTAATTGCACCAAATGGGGCCAACAAACTGGTTGCAAAGACGTGGGGGGAAGGCAGAGCGGTTCAGATCGGTGAGGCCTAAGACGACACTTGGGGCGTAAACTGGGACTGGGGTTGTTTGTTTGTGGCTGAATCGGGACTAGTGGTGGAGGGATGCTTTATCGATAAGCTTAATGCATATTATGTAATATCTATTGTTCCCCGAGTCTTGTACGCAAGCATGAGCGTCCCAAGGTTATTCTTCTGAACGGTCAACAGCCTGTGTATATGCATATCAGTGTGTTCAAACAAAAACTTGGAGGACTGTAGTATACAAACACCTGGGAAATGTCCCCTTTTTTTTGTAACATCTATCAAATAGCTGGAGTCGTAGCCGATCCATGGTTCAGTGTCGAATAACCCTGGAACTCTGGATAACAGAGGGTCTCTGGAATATCTTATTTTCACTTGCTTAATGTACATCAGGGTAATAATTAATCTTGAAGCCTTGCAAGGATGAGAACCTCAGGTTTGTTGGACTTATACTTTTGGGAGAAATGCTTGAAAAGGAACTACAGATGAATCACCCCTACCTTTATGAATACTTGCAACTCATTCAAGTCTAAAAGTAAGGAGTCTAATTCTCTCAACTTACTATGTGCATTTTGCCTACTGTCCAAGTACAGCAGAAATGTTGATGACTTGTAGGATGCGCAGAATCTCGTACCAGATAATATATATATTAAGGTGGACTCGGTAGTGTCTATGTTTTCCCCACTTTCTTTTCATTTATTCTTCCAAATTTCGGCCGTGGGGTTACTCAGATCTCATTTACACCGTATTATGTCTCACAAGTGCCCCTAAGCTTTGCTTGGAACCTTAATGCTCGAGCTATAAATATATCCCGTGTCGCATGTTTCATGAATCGTTATTTACCTGAGTAGACATTCTAGATGAGCGATTGTTGATCAACTAAAGTTCTACATTACCGTTTCACTGAGGCTATCCCCATCTACACTACATGTTAGAAATTTTAATCCTCAGTTGAGACCGTAAACCTGCATACTCAACCATAAAATCGCTTCAGATAACCAAATCGAAGGCAGAACTAGTTTGAATGTAATAAGAGCTTCTAAATTATTTACATTACATTGTTTCGTGATCGCCCAACCACATCCCTTGAAAACCATTGGACATTGAATAGAAACCACACTAACCAGGCTTTCGGGAGATGAAATTGCTGCATTCCTCAGGTAAATATCTGAGCGGTCTTTCAGCCTGGGTCAACTCATCTCAACATGGAAAGTTGTTTGAAGCCAAGACTTTCCCAGCCACTCAACATTCCCGAGTGAGCTTGCAAAGCCTTTTTGCCTGACCGTGCAAACAGTGCAAACCTCACAAACAAAAGCCTCTCTCCCTAAATTGTCAAAAAAGACAAACATGTTTGCGGGTAAGCGAGTGTTGCTGGTTCGCTGCATTGAAATATAAGGGTTCTTGAAACGCCGACACATAGGCCTACATGGATTTCAGCGGAAGAAACACCTCGGCTTCCGTAGTCTGATCTGGAAAACAGGGCTACCAAGAACTACCCTGCTGTCACTATCTCTCTAACCGCTGATTAGCTTGTCAACCTCACCATTGGCCGTTTGGGCTTGTCTTACACTTGCACTAATTCACGCAGTGACTTTTACTAATGACAGCTAACTGAAATAACCAAGTTATTTACGGTATTTACGCAAAGAACAACTTAGAATGGGACCTGGGTCGATTTGTTGCTCCAGTTAGGTGAAATAACCAATGGCCCTGCCACACAAGTCCCCCACATGTGTTGCACAAGCACTCCAACGAGGTTTTTGTTCTTGGTATTTGTTCTGGCATTTTCAATTGGTCCAGTGCCATAGAATTTTTCGCTGAGCGCCCTGGATTTTTACAACTGGCAGACCCCCAAATGAGAGATAAATTTATTCCCGAAGGCTCCAAGGGACTAACATGGATGGATCACGGTGCGGTACCAAGTTATCCACCCTGGACCCTTACTCTTCCACTGTCAAATTCGTATTAACATGGCCAAAATCGAATGGCTGTTGCTCTATCGGATGGTGTTGATGCATAGCCTCAGATCCCCGAGGGTGAGCACCAGAGCCCCCAACCTCAGACTCCTAGCTAGGGTCAATGTCAGACTACTGTCAGTCAACGTGTTGCTCGGGCCACAAGATCTCTGATTTTTGTGATCACCTTAACATGCTAATCCATGAGAGCGAGGATATCTACTACCAAACCGCAGAGGACATGTCTAATTTCGTCTCATGCTCGTGGATATGAGCTCCTCGACCGTGGCGATGCGCCTATTAATAGTGACTCTTGGTGATCTCCTTCCACACATACTGGAGATACTAAGCGCTGCTTTCTGCCTTTCGATGAGGTCTGATAGATGGCTTGTATTCTAGTGTCGTTTTTACAACTGATTCTAGATTTTTCTCAGACTGGCTATAGAAACAGCGGCCACAATAGCTACATACAATACCACTCAACTTTGTTTGATAAATCTATGCTATATTTTCTCTCCTTTCTCGTTGAAATAGCCTGCTTGCGGTCATTTATTGTGGGAGCTCGGACCGTCACCAATGCATGATCTGGGTCCACTTGGTCGATTGTTTTGGAACATTTGGGTCGCCATGGGGTGATCGTCCGATGTGGAGCCACGTGTGTGATTGACAGTTCATTCCAGATTACCGATCGGGTGGCTGATATCGAAGGGATGTATTAAACACTTTGCAGTTAAATTTCTTAGTGATCGCCACGATGTCACCGGGAAAATGAGAGTGAAATCTCTTAGGCTGCGACCATCTGAAACAAGAATTGAAGCCTCAGAAAAAGACTATTCTACAAAGCTGGAGTCATGACGTATTATAAGCACTAGGATGATGCCTTCAGATGATCTACATTTTTTTACTGAATTTGCAAGACATCTGCAAATACTGTTCTTGACAAGTTCCTTGCATTCGATCATGTATTCTACGTCCTGATAATTTGTGCTGTGGAATAGAGGTCCTCTGTAATCGGGACACATCCTCACCCAGTGTTTCACAAATAAGGGGCAAGCCTCCTTAAGCTCTTCCATTGAAAGTTGATTCTTTTTTGTGAAAATGCACGGTCGGTCTGCGTAGGGCAAGACATGTCACGTGACAAATGGACGCAGCTGCTGTAACCTTCCGAATGCAGCGACATTATTTCATGAAGTGCAACTTCATTCTAACTTTTGTTCACAACGAGTTCATTGAGTAAGATTTTACTGCGTTATGACAGATTTGCCACGGGTAACCCGGCTCACATGCCATTTGAAATCTTCATTTCTCCAGATATTGCCTGTTTCGTCCGCAAACAGCACTCGGGCATCCGGGAACTATCATCGGTTTGCCGGTATCTTTAGTGATTCAAACTCATGATTCAGGATCCAATCGGATTATCCAAGGAACGAAGCTTTCAG